AAGTTCAGTTATGGCCGGGGCCCATAACCTGTTGTAAGTAGAGAGTAGAGTAATGTAACAGAGAACTAGAATTAGCCTCTTGAGAGAGAAACATTCTACTTAAATACATTTCATATTACTTCGAGATCTTTCTATGAGATACTAAATAAGTCTGGATCATGATCCAAGTCAGCTGCTACTGACTGGCATCGTATCTTCAAGTACATTCTCATACTCACTTGGGATTGCTATCCCAACAGGGATATAACAACATACAAATCAAGGAAGGAGATAAATGGAAGGCCATCTTCAGGACCAACTGAGGGCTGTTCGAGTCCACCATCATGTTTTTCAGACTAACCAATTCTCCTGTCACATTTCAATGGATGATGAATGACATATTCAGGGATCTCATCACCACTGGAAAAGTCACAATCTACTTGGATGACATCTTAATTATATCCCAGACAAAGAAGGAACACAGAAGCCTGGTATGACAAGTACTTGCCCTAATGAGGAAACACAAACTATTCCTCAAGGCTAAGAAATGCGAATTCGAGGTATTGGAAACAGAGTACCTTGGAGTAATCATTAGTGAAGGGAGCATCAGGATAGATCTGGTCAAGGTGGCAGAGATAGTGGACTGGCCAGAACCAATGAAGAAAAAGGAATTGCAGTCATTCCTCAGCTTTACCAACTTCTACCGATGATTTATCCATGACTACAGCAAAATCATCAGACCAATGACTCAACTCACCAGCAATACCCTATAGAGATGGAGAAGCTCCCAATGACTTGCATTCACTGACCTAAAGCAGTGGATAGCCAAGGATGTCATCCTTGCTATACCATCTCAAGAAGGGAGGTTCCAAGTGGAGGCTGACTCCAGTGAGGGGGCGATCAGAGTGGTGCTCTCTCAGGAGCAAGACAGAAAATGGTGACCAGTCACATTTCTTTCAAAAGCACTAACCACAACAGAAAGGAATTATGAGATCTATGACAAGGAGCTACTAGCAATAATGCTCATCTTAGAAGAGTGGTGGCACTATCTGATCAGAGCCTCCAAAACCTTCGAGATCTGGACTGACCACCAGAACCTCTGATATTTTCAACAGCCCCAAAAATTAAATCACCGACAGGTCCGGTGGGTCATGGAGCTCACCCAATACCAATATACCCTCCATCATAAGGCAGGAATAGCCAACAAGAAGGCTGACCTCCTATCTCGATGTGCAGATCATGACCAGGGAGGAAATGACAACATGGGAGTCACCATCCTGTGACCCGAACACTTTCAAGCAATGATAATGTTCATGAAGGAGGAAATTCATGAACAGATCAAAAGTGCAACCCGTGATAGCCATAAATGGGATCAAAGGGTCATCCCATCCCTTAACCATGAAAGGGGGATGACAAAAGAGAACAGAATAATCTGCTATGATGAGAGAATCTATATCTCTAGGGACTGGGATCTCCGAGGGGAAATTATCGCCATAAGTCATGATCACATGACTGCAGGACACCCAGGCATTGCCAAAACCAAGGAATTAGTCCTACAAGAATATTGGTGACCCAAGATGAAGAATGACATTACAGCATATGTCAAAGCCTGCGAAACTTGCCAAAGGGGAAAGGCTTCAATGCAATCCCGAGTGGCCCCCCTTCACCCAAATGAGATTCCATCATCTCCATGGACCCATATCTCAGTCGACATGATCACTGGGTTACCTGATTGCAATGGGTATAATGCCATCCTCATTATTGTTGACTGGTTCTCGAAAGCAATCATTCTGATCATCTGCTCAACAGAGTTAACCTTGGAAGGGTGAGCAAAAATCTTGCGAGATGAAGTATACACTAAATATAGCATGCCCCAAGTGGTCATCTCGGATAGAGGACCACAATTTGTCTCTAAGTTCCTTGATGATCTCTACAAACTATTAGCAATCAAACGGAATGCCTCCACAGCATATCACCCACAAACCAATGGGCAGACAGAGTGGGCGAACCAAGAAGTTGAAAAATACTTACAACTATTCATCAACTACTGGCAAGACGACTGGGTCGAATGGCTAGCACTTGCAGCATTTCAACATAATAATCACATCCATTCAGCAACCAGGAAAACCCCATTCTTTGTCAACTATGGGTGACATCCCAATATTGCCCACCCCAAATATCACCGAACAACGACCTCTGCATCAACAGACTTTGCTGCTGACATGGCAAAAATCCATTCCGAAACAAAAGCCGCCCTCGAAAAGGCCACAGCGACAATAAAAACCCAATATGACAAGCATCGACAGCCAGTGCACATATACTCTCCCAATGACAAAGTCTGGCTAGACATGACAAACCTACATCTACCACAACCAAAACCAAAATTGGCAGATAAATGCACTGGCCCCTTCCCTATTATTTCAAAAATAGGAGAAAGTGCCTACAAACTTCACCTGCCAGCCAGCTGGAAGGTGCACAACATATTCAACAAAAGTCTTCTTTCACCATACATTGCCCCAGTGTTCCCAAATCAAGAACGCCCTCCTCCACCTCCACCTGACCTAATTGACGATGAAGAGCATTATGAAATCAACCAAATCCTAAACCATAAACTCAGAAAAGTCAAAGCAAAAGGCAGTGGTATGACAACTACAGTGGACTACCTTGTCAGTTGGAAAGGGTATGGACCTGAATCCAACCAATGGGTAAATAAAAAACAAATGTCGGCAGAGGACACAATCCATGACTATGAATTATCCCTAAATTAAGCCATCGGGATGATGGTCTTAAGAAGGGGGTAATGTTATGATTTTTCCACTTTTTTCCCTTTTTCTTATGACCTTACTCCTATTTATGCTTAGTCAGGAGACATGGAACAGTGGGAGGGCTTGGTCATCACAACTAACCCACCCATCAAATCAATTCACACAATAATGCTCAACAATACACAAGCAGCCTTTTATGTATGGTAATGATGCTCAAGGACAACAGGCACCATGGATACAGACAGACACAATTAGTAGGGATATTATTAGCATAGCCTGTACAGTATTTAAGACCCATAGCTCTTGCTGGTATACCCCAGCTTTGAGCTAAAGTTTATAACCACCATTCTATCTCAAGTCTAATAACCGACCTTAAGTCACACAGAAGGAAGGCCAATTCCATGAACTCAGCTGATCCCTTGAAGTGCAAAGGGACAGCTGTTTATCATGTGGTTTTGCTCATATGATGCTTGGGCCTAACACCCAGACAGTGATTGAATAGCATTTCCAGCATAGCTGGATGATCACCAACAATCCTAACAATGTTCTGATGATAGAAAAAAGGAGTTCAAAGAATTCTCAGTCAAAGTTCGGGTCTGTTGTGTTGATAGAGGGCATTCAGTTTCCTCCACACTAATGTGTATGAGAAAAGAGAAGGAGAAGCTTCAAGCTAATTATTAGATCCAAGTGTCACATAAACAGAAACACATGATAAACAGAAGCTGCCTTGCACTTCAGGCAGTCATCTGAGTCCACTAATGTGATTCTAAACTGGTGTGTCACAAGGCCAAAGGGAATTGGCTCGAGAGTAGAATGATGTGAATAAACTTTAGCTTGAAGCTGAGGATTACCAGCAAGAGTGAGCAGTCTTAAATATGGTACAAGGTCTGCTAATAATACTACAGCTAATTGTGTGTTTCTGGGTTCATTGTGCCCATTGTCCTAGGATGTCACTATCATATATAAAAGGCTAGTTGTGCATTGTCAGACAATGCTGTTGTATCAAAAGACAATGACAGACTTGGCTAGTGGTGATGACTAAGCTTTGTTCCATGGTCTCAAGTGCCTGTTCTAGCACTCTGACTAAGTATAAATAGAGGTTAATCAAGGAGAAGAATGGAAAAATCATAACAAAGATAGAGAGGAATAGAGGTGAAAATCATTGAGCAGTAATCCTTCTCCTAGATGATGATACTGATGAAAGCTAATGACTCCCATTTCATTGACAGACTGTCAAGAAACTCATGAACATTGCCTTTGGCTGGGCAATGTGACTCCATAAACTGCTGCTGAAGGTTGGTTTGTGCATAGCTGCTCTTATTGGTAAACTCTTTTTTGATCTTTGATCAGGCTACAGCAACTGTGGGAAGATGCTGAATCTTCATAGCAACTGAGTCAGGGATCTTCAAGAGCAGGAAGTTCTTGGCTACAGCCTCATCTTTCTCCCATTCATCTAGCTCAGCCATGAGAGCTGTTGTGGGTGCAATGAGAGAGTGTTTGGGCTTTGATCCATCAAAGTGATCCCATTTCCCTTTGGCTTGAACACCAGTGGAAAAGCAGAGGTAGAAGATGGATCAGTTGTCACCAGATGTGTTCAGTGTGGGAACATTCAATGGTAGGCCTGTAGTCAAGGCAGCAATGGCAGAAGTCATTTGAGTATGAAGGATGGGATAGAGTAATTCTCAGGGCTGTATAACCTCTAAGAAAGTGACATGTGTTCATAGCACCTAATAGAGTACACTGTTAGCTATAATGTAGACTACAGGATACCAATCAGTAACATAAACAAAGTAATATAAGTAGATACTCACCCTCACACAGCATAGCAATAAGCAGAAATGTGGTGAGGGTGTTTGATGGACTGTATTCAATATATATAGTCCATCCTGACATAAAGGGATATCAAGCTCCACCAGCAGGATACAACAGAGCTCCTGCTTGCTAATCCAACAAATAGAGGGAATCTGTAAGGTCTGACAATGGGTGTTGGCAGAACCTCTCGACAGTATAAGTAGTATGTCTACCCAGAACACGAGATGTCGAGTTGTAGATATTCCCAAAGTCTTGAGGAATACAATGAGGAAAAACATATAGAAATGTGAAAATGAGCTACAGCGATGACGGACTAGAAATCGGTTTGATATGTTCAGATGCTTAGATCGTGAATGCTTTACATATACATTATTATAATGGTGATCTATAACATTATATACATGCAACTGAGATATTGAAACTGGAATAGTATTCAACCCAACCTCAAAGCACCACGTCTACTTGTTCATCTCTTACTCTGCCCTGGCCTTCTCGGTCTTGACGTCACCTCCATTCACATACCAGCCATCTTGTCGCTGGTGTTGCCGGTCACCAAACCTACAACGAACTGACCGTATCTGATCACGCAGTCGGCAGTCGCTTTGGCGTATCCTTGGACTTTGGTGGCGGTGGTCTCAGCTTCACCATCGGTGTGCTCCTTCTTGCCGTCGCGAGCCATGGAGTCGGATCCAACGGCGTTGCCTATCTAAAACTGACGTTAGCAAGGTGCAGACGATGTCGACATCGTGTGTCGAAGAAAAGCGCATGTCTGCGCGACGTACCACCTCCTTCACGGTCCCCTTTGCAAAGTTGAATGGTAACTGGCCTTGCTGTAGGGGCAGCAGGTAAGTGACGCGTCTGATGTTCCCAACGACGGCGACAACGTACCTGGAGTCACCAGACATCATGTTGGAAACAGAGTTGGACATGGCGAAGAATGAGTTAGTGAAGAAAAGTGGTGGCCGCGAAAGTCATGGACGTGACCCCCTCCTTATATACCCTGGTTATTTGGTCCAACCTTTGGTCAAAAATATGATCTGCGATGAAAAGCGTGCTTAAAATAGACACAAATGATGTAGTCGACGTCATGTCTTCAGGGAACTAAAAATAGTCGTCTTGGACAAGGTCTCGGTGTGCCGCTTCTTCACACATGCTGCTTCGTCAGCCCGTTTTCTAGGACTAAAGTAAGGGCGAGAAGGAAGAGATGGTACCATCAACTTCTTGAGGCACATTTGTCCCCTGGTAGTCATATCCCCCGGCGTCACTGAGGGTACAACAAGACTCGTACTATATTAGGGTCGTTTACAGCCGAAAGAAGATGGACTACATCAGAGGGGGGTAAAGATACAAACGGATGAAATAAGTGTAGAGAAAGAATTGTATGGCGAAGGGGGGCGAATATGCCCTACGTGGCATGGCGAGCCCATCCCAACGATAACCTACATATGTATATGTTCGCGGAAGCTACAGCAATTAGTGGTATATAGCCGAGCATTAACATGAAATACAAGAGCGATGCTTGACGAGTCGATAGTCCAACGTGCATCCCTGGTACACCATACCACAACGAGTCATACCACAAAACCCTGACCTAGAGGTCCGACCTCCACAACAGCTCAGGACCAACTTCCTCATCAATTCTATACAACCCATCCACATACGTGATCACCGTCCTCTCGAATTCATGTACAAAAACCACCATCACCACCGTCGGGCAATACAAGCGCAGCTCACTCGCCAGCGCCCTAAACGCGGCCAAGGTCGACGGAACCGGCTGCCACCCAGACACCTCCACCTCGATGCAGTCAAGCCTCGGAAGCCTCATCAGCATCCCGTAGAAGCGCAACCTCTTCATCGAACACAAAGGCAACCGTCAAAAAACGAAAGATAATGGGCGAAAGAGGTCCTGACCTCTCGGCCAGCGACGGGCAAAGCTAGAGTGCCCAAGTATCGAAGCTGACGTGCTGTCCTCGACATGCCAACGATGGTGCTGAGAAGCTCGACCGAGAAAGGCTCTTCATACGTCGAATCCGCTATATCTAGCGAACGGAGTTCAGCGGTAGATAATTGGATTTTAGCAAACAGAGTCGTCATTTCGACCCTTTTCGCGTCGGGGTCTGAGCGTGAGAAACACGTTTTGAGACGTATGAGAGGACGCCGAGGCGCCAAAGCCGCAGCAGCTTCGGTAAAGGTGCATTCTAGAGTGGCCAAGTTAGGAAGTGAGTTGGCGGAGAGAGGGGAGATGGTGGTGGGTGGAGCAACGGATGCATCCATAAGAGAATCTTTGTAGTCTATGATGTACAGATCGTCGAGATCCTGTTGGTTTTCTAAGAACTTGACGAGGTGTGCGTCCCAGTCGAGATCACAATGGAAGCTCCTGAGATGGAATGGGCAGTCGTCCAGAATCCAGGTGTTCGATGATGGAACGCCACGACCTATATGAATGTTGAGGTACCGTAGCCGCGAAAGCTTTCGGAATGCGAGAGAGATGGTCGGCCAGTACCCCTCCGGAAGCTCTTCGACATGTGGAACTTCCTCCCCCTCCTCTTCACTTTCGTCTTCTGAGGACGCTCCTGCGTGCAAGGTGAGGGCATCCACACATGCCGCGACGCGCGGTTGCTCCGTCAGAGTGGCACAAAGAAGCATTGTTGTCCCGATATCCTGCATGTACAACGTGTTATAAAGCGCACGTTCCGCGGCGTACTGAAAACCTTTCGAGACCCTGCACAAAGCCGCGATATCAGCACGGCTTCCAACATTTTTAACTATGTTGCGATAAGCCTCCAATGACAAGTACATGCACTGACGAGCATAACCTATAAAAGAAACATTTAGCTTTAGGCTGCCGGAAAAACGCGTGCTACTTACGGCCTCCCGGTGCGGGAGTTGAATTAGGATGGAACGAAAGTTGAGCAAATTTCTGCGCGACGTAAAGGAACAAAAACGCGAAAGACTCAAGGACTGGAGCTGCCCAGGGTCGGCAATCAATGGAACAACGTGAAGCACACGGCAAGAACGCACCCGGAATGAGCTGTAATGAAATCGTTATGAGGAGATAAAGAACGTAGGTTATTAGTCTCCGCGTTGTGGGACGGTGTTGTAATCGGAAATATATCACCTCACGGCTAAGATAGACCCTTCATTTATATGTTCTATCACCGTGGAAAACGACACGGAGGCATTTCGGAACCTAGGGGGAGATCTCCGGGTACGCGTTTTGGTTCCGCAAAATTCCCATCTCTATCTCTGCTACAATGAGAGTAGACGTTGAAGCCCATGGGATATATATCCCCCTGCTGATGAACATCGAAGACAGTCAGGTACTAGTTACTCGACCACGCGAAAGCCATGTGCGAGCAAAATCGGCATCCTCGGTCTGTGGTTTCTTGACGACGACCAACAAATATCTTCCACAGGTGTCGGCGAGGGCCCCGGCAGTTATAGAGAGGCCAGCACAGCGGGCTGGACAGCTGAAGTGGGAAAAAATTTCCTAATAAAAGGCGCACGGTTACCCATGATCGCATCCGAAGCCGACGTGAAACAGTATGCATGTCTGTACGCAGTGTAAGCAGGTCATTTGGAATATGTGCGTTCTGCAGCGTGACCTAACCTATAGAGCAAGACCTTCACAGCTCGGGGGAACTAGCAGCGCTAGGCGCAAAAACCGGTGCACAATAAGGCAGGGGGGACAGGCTGGGCCATTGTCAGATGCGCCACTTCTCGTACATAGACTTCCGGTCCCAATTTATGTGCTGAAAAAGCTCTATCAGTTCCCAGAAGTGTGCGAGAGCACAGGCAGCCATCATCTCCATCTAACATTGTCAGTGCTGGCAAGTAGATATGAGAGAACCTACGTGCGGTAAATTGACATGGTCTTCGTACAGCCTCAATCCAACGAGGAAAGAGCGCGCAAGAGGGTGGAAACGGGTTGACAATAGACAACAACTGCCATGTTCAGATCGCAACAGAAGTCTTGCGTGCTTCGGTCAAGAATAGAAACCAACGGGGGCTAAAATTATATTCATGCGGCAAAGACTCGGACCACATTGACAATTATCATCATCAGGTGAAAAGACTGAATTGAAGTACACCGAGTTCTTTATTATCACCTCTGATATCATCTGGGGTAAGATGATGTCGAAGACTAAAAGACGACCGCATACCTGAGATTGCCAAGTCCAGACCCATGGTATTTTATCAATATACAAAGAGATACAGACATACTACACACCGCCATGTGAGATCTTTATACCACGGATTCAATAGAATTATTACTCACTGATACACTACTCTAGCTTTTCCAGTTCCTCCAACCGCGACAGCACGACGTCTTTGCTGGTCTCTTCAATCTCTCCGGCCAGGAATATCTCGTCAAGTATGGCATACACCTGTACAGTCTGAGGGTCTGAACACGGCGACGATATGGATGGACACATACCTTGTAGAAATTGAACACAAGGTCAAGTTCACATACGTTGTCAAAGAACGAATCTGCAAGGTACTTTCAGCGCCGTCGAGTAAGCGCTGATGACGAGGCACGCACCCAAAACTTCGACAAAGAGATGTATGGCTTCCAGATACGCCAACTCGTTGTCATTGGCATCTACACATACACAGAAGAACAGGCCAGCATAACGACGATAGACAATCTTGTAGTTTCGGAACTATCGGTGGCTGTCTGAGCAAATCTGACCACAAAGGTAGTACAAGGAACTTCACCTCTACAAAATTCGATTGGTACTTCTGATCCCGGGGAGCCACAAGCCTGTGGACGTCGCCGCGCAATCTGACCTAAACATTGATATTGTAGCTTGCGAATCCGTCCAAGGGCAACGAACCGACCTTTTCGTCGTCATCATACGGGACATACCACTTCGACAATCGTGTCTTTCCTTGACGATTCTAAGTGCGTTGAGCGTCAGGGAATGCGTTGCAGACGGATGCCGTACCTGGACAAGAATGAACCTGATCATGACGGTGAAATGTTAAAGCGGGAATATTCTTTCCGGCCCTGAATCAAATCTTGTGCACAGCCACAGTCGGCCCCTTTGTCCCTCGGGCCTCGGCTTCGTTTTTGGCAATCCCGAATCATATTTTGGTCGGGATATGCAGGACCCAAAAAAGTTCGGACAAAAAGTTCGGACATATTTGGGTCAAAATATGAGAAAATCTTCGCATCATTGGCCCGAATTGCCTACAACGCTCAAAACAAAAGTCAAAACCCGTGAGAACTTTCAGACCTTGAGTAATTATGTCCGAACTTTGCGCACTTCTGTGGACATCTCTTCTCACATCTCATTATTACACGGCACGGTTACACGGTACGGTACCTGAATTGGGGGTCCTGGATATATTGGCGATGATATTTTTCCAATGGCCCGCAAAGGCCTCTCCTGTTCCCTAGGTTCTAGATCACCCTTTTACTCTGGATAATAAGAACATCTCCTTTGCTGCTGCTACCACGAAGGAGACTGATTTGGGGTACATCAGATGCATTGTTGCGCGGTTGTTAACTGCAGACTTAGATCAACGTTGCGCCTGTTCGGGAAATATATTCATCAGCAGTCTGCAATATCTCCCACAGCAACCTTAATATCAGAAAAATGCGTTAAATATTGGTCGTATTTTCAGCTCACCTTCCATTCCGTTCAATGTCATTGCTTATATCAAAGCATGAAGCACCCATTAACCTACGGAGTAGGAATTATTCTCTCATAATTGTGTTGACCTTCAAGCTGTGGTTGAGCACGAACACCAAAGGAGCACAAATCTAGACAACCTTTCCCAGACATATCCGCAGCACGAACCAAGCTGCCACCGCTGTAGAAAATATATCTTACAGCCAGCGAACCAAGTGACCTTGGTACTAAACGCCTTATCCGAGTAATTGATATCTCTCTGTTTGACATGCATCAAATACGGGCAACATGACCCGCTGAACTTGTCCTTGCGGTGGAATGAGATTTTTTGAAGAACATCCGCATGCTATCCCATTTCCCATTCCCTCGTCACTTGCAAACTTTAGGCTTATTCAGGCACGGCTTCCCTAGATAAATATATGGTTCAATCCAGACACGAGCTCAGAGCTGTCACTGGTGATTCCAGACACTCAGACTTCCTTGATATCTCACAGCTGAAAGAAGTGTTCTTCCTGGAGAAGCATTCATCCTTTCCAATCACGCATTTACTGCCTATCTCCGAGATGCCGCTGCCACTGCCTCCCAAACAGGTCTTCTTCCCATCTATATCTTCTGGGAATCGATTCTTCATTCAGGGACATGTTCTAACTTTCTTCTGGCCCTTTCTCAGGCATGTGGACGTTAGAAGTAGTTGCTAGTTCATATACCTACCACTTCGAATTCTACACGTGGAGTTTTGAGTGACATCGCGCGAACAAACAGCTTGCTGTTCCTGCTTGACCAGTTTTGCCTTATGACGTTGTTAGTTAGGGGCATCATCCAGGTGCAGGATGGGCACCTTCTCAATGGCAAATTCCTCATCTGCCTTTATCTTTATTTCTCTTGCTTTCTCTAGTGCCTCCCGCTTGATGAAAGCGACCTATCCAGTCCATTAGCCAACCACCATTAGGAAGGGTTCCGCCGGGTACCATTTTGTTCAATTCAGTGAGGACTTCATCATCGTTAAGAGGTCGGGTCGACATGTTGGCAGAGAGATATATGGGTGGTTAGTAGGTAGTGTTGGCTACTCCAAGGTGGTGATCGTCAAGTCGCGCGATACAGTAGCAGCTACCTTACTGTGCGTGATCAAGATGAGGGTGTGATTTTTGGAAGGACTATTACACCTATGCCAACATTGCAGTAATAATCCTCGGTGCGGTCTAGAAGACGCTCAATTCACCAAGCGCTAACTCAAGTCTTTTGATCTTGTTGTACCTGAAAATGAAAGCGGTAAAAGTGAATACTTAATCTTTCTTTACAGAGATACGAGAAAGCAGAACTACAAGTACTCATTATATGTTATATAGATTTATAGGCTTAGTACAACGATTGAAGTGCCGGCTTTAGGTATCAACAGTCATCACGAGATAGAAACAGACTCGACGAGGTCATATTCATGAAGTCTGTTCACATCACTCCAATAATCTCTCCAACGATACTCTTAAATGTGCCATTCGGGTCAAACTGTTTTCTGACCTCCGCAAATCGGGACAGGCTCTGCGTGTACATCAGTACCCACGTGTATTAGGCTAGGTAGAGCTTACATCCTGATCAAGATTCTTCAAAGCCTGTTGGAATATGGAACGAGTATTCTTGGTCCAGTGAGGACGGACTGGGAACTGAAGAGACATGAGTATCATCCTCGACAAGATCAAAAGCCGCTGTCTCACTTCATTAATAAGCGTAGTGGCCAAAGTCGCATACCTATCAAAGTATCAGCTCAGGACAATGGGAAGAAGAGGTCGTTTACCATTCTTCGTTATAGCGATGATGGTCACCCAAGGTTGGGCGAAAGGTTGGGAAGTCAAACATAATGGCACCCTATGTACTCGTCAGCCGTGAAACTGGAAGTCCAGCTTAACACCCGCCTTTGACCAATCACCGGGAATTTCACCGGCACGTTCAGTTGTTTGACCCAAGAGGCTATCGAATGGTTTCCCAAACTGTAGCCGACGATATCGGCGTCCATACAATAGACAACGATAAGAAAGCTTACTTTGATGTTGATACCACTGAATAAAAGGTTTAATGAATACCTACCAACGCAGAGGACGATGGGTAATTCACCTTCGATACGTCGACGTCACTGCTTCGCCATCAGCTGCCGATTGGTCAAATAGTTCACGAACGCGCTTCAGGAGTTGATTGGCTTGTGTAACAGGAACTGCGAACTCCAAAGTCAGGCCATGCAGGCCATAGTACCACTCCGTCTCCTCGTTTGGATACAGGCCTCCGATGAGGACGTCATAAGCCGTTCCATAAACAGGCCAGCTTAGAAGAGGCACGTTATATGTTTTCTCTACCAACTAATCAGTGACTATAACGAGATCTTAGCGATAGTTAACACCCACCATGGAAGTTTGGAGCTGTCCAGATGGCGTACAACACGCTCTCACTAAAGAAGTTGGGAAGGCTGAGGTTCTGACCGGCGTTGAGTAGGGTAAGTGCAAGGTTCGCTTCGATCTCTGTCACAGAAAAGGTTGACTAAGGGAGGATCGGACACTGGAACCAGACCCTAGCCGAGAAGACCAACCTGAAAAGCGTCTTCTGGCTGATCAATATCAACCACACCATACGTTCGAAGATGGAACTTTTTCAGTCCTGGCCACCACTACATTCGCGTCAGTACTGATCCCGTTTCACAACGCAAACAAAGCAAACCCAATAGTTTGCAGTCACATAGGGCGAAATTTGCGCGTATATATCTCCATTCAAGACATCGTCCTCATCTAAAATGGTCTGATTCGCGTACACCTTGTAATCTGAGACGACCGCAATCTCCACTCGGGCGATGACTCCAAGCAGTCCGAGGGATGTGGTAGCGGCCAGCCAGGTGTCATTGGTTTGGTCCCTCTCAAGATGAACAAGATCACCTGTTCAATAGAATTATCAGCACTAGCATCGACCGGACCAACTTTAAGTAAGAACCCTGTCCGTTGATGATGTCTAGGGCCATCGCGGCACTAGAAACCTGAGAGTCCTCACGTAAAGAGGACCGGTGGGCACCCATAGCAACGGCGCCGGCTATTCAAACGTATCAACGCCACCGGAATAGATCGAGGCAGATATGAGCTCCCACCGATAGTAATGTTCCAATTAACTGCAGAGTGTGTAGATAAAGCCACCGATGTCACAGTACAGAATACAGGACTGACCTAGGGTATATCCAAGGGCTGCACCACGTTCATGTAGCCATTCTGCCCTAGGAGAATGCGATGATGCCAAGAAATGTGAGCCAATGTTGGACTTACAATTGTGGAAACGTGACGCCGGCCTCAACAACTACACTTCCGACACCATCTGTCAATTGGAGATCGGAGATGCCGTTAACAGCGTCGGTTTTAATTATGATTGTGTTAGGATCGTCTGAACACATGGTATCATCTAGAGCCAAGACGGATTCTCAGAAAAAAAAAGTCTTTATAGTGACGCTAGAAAGTGTGATACACACACCACATATGCCCATTCTGTGAAACTGATGATTCAGTAGTGAATTGTAAGACGTCAGAATGAGTTACTTACGCCACTGGCTCGGACAGGAATGCCGTTATCACTGGCATTCTTGACAATACTGACTATCTCGTCAACCGTGGAAGGCTGATAGACTTGCGAAACGGCATTGCATGCGGGAAACCCGGGTCCGTCGAAGGTGTTGTAAGGTTCAGCTAGCGCGAGAGATGAATTTCGAGGGACAGAAGGTGCAGAAAATACGGCGACGTTACCAGCGACCAAGGAGAAAAGGGAGAGGGTAAGAAAGAAGGTAAGAATATGATTCAGGTTCAGCATCGTCGAGCGCCAAGAGTTCACGAATATTGACGAGAGAGATAAATGGCCTCCCCATCGCTATAACACATGCTACCAAGGACATCAGGCTGTATTCTCGAAGAACTGCTGCATGCTCTGGTGAGGATCAACTGGTCTGTAAACATGTGGCTACTGAATTGCCACGAAAGGTCGCGTGAGCCCTAGTCAAACATCCCTTGGCTGCTTGGTCAGGCAAGGGAGAGAGAACCTGTGCATCGTCAATAGGGCGGCAAAGACAAGAGAAATCTGCTATCTGTCCAGTTGAAGCACGGAAACAGGGTGTTTTGACATTGTGTAGTGCTTCGCGGGTACCTTGTGATCAGGCATCGAATCACAGGGCGTCAAATCACAGGGCTTTCCACTGGCAGGCATACTACAAGAACCTCTCCATGATGGTCCGAAAGGTGTACCTGCTGTTCCATTAATTCGGAATATTAATGAACGGGTTGTTACCTGTTTTTTTTTCGCACAATATGACTATTCCCATGAAGCTGACCTTGATGATCAGATTCTGTACTGAAAGGGCCCCGTAAAACGTGGGATGCCCTCGGTCTCTTATTGTATGGTATAGTAGTCGTCGGAACTTGAAGGAAGAACGAGGCCGCACTTTCATACGTCTGCACTTTTTCCAAGCATCATTGCTTTGATGAACGGTTCAGTTCAAAGAACAAAAATCCGATTTGATTTCAGCAACGCGGGGCTAGTGGCTGTGCGCTGCCTAAACGGGACACACTGAACGCCGCCGGCCACGACACACGCTTCGCCTCCGACCACGAGGATAAATTACCGAAAAAAATGGCAGAGCCAACGAAACAGGAAACAGAGCAAGTGTTCAAGGTCCTTAGAGTGCAGAAAGGCAACAAGGTCCGTTAAAATTCCCAGATACGACGCCAGGGGTTCACTGGGAAATAGGCCTGCTTTGATTGCAATGCGCGTAACCCAACGTGGTCCAGCGTTACCTTTGGAGTATATATCTGTTTAGATTGCTCTAGCAACCACAGAAATATGGGCGTCCATATTTCGTTCGTTCGGTGCGGTTCTCTTCGTATCAGAAGGCGTAACGGACCACTGATAGCCGGCCTAGGTCGACGAACCTCGATTCGTGGCAACTAGCACAGCTTAGGAACATGAAAGTAGGAGGGAATGCGTTCGCAACGGAATTCTTCACAAAGCATGGCGGCGCATCTCTCTTGAACGACGCTGATACCAAGAAAAAGTACTCTAGTCGCGTCGCAGAGCTGTATAAAGAGGAGCTGGCGAAACGGGTCAAGGACGATGTTGCTAGGTTCGATGCCTTTCAAGACTTTTAATTACTCTCGCTTACTCAGGAGTAGATTTCCGAATGGAATCGTCCTTGATGGAGTCGAAAATGTTGCTACTCCCACGCCAAAAGAGCAGACAGAGGACGATTTTTTCGAATCATGGTCGAAGCCTTCAACGCCCAAACCATCCGCGCCCGCCACACCCAGAGTTTCCACACCACCTATCATTGGTACGCCTTCTCCAGCACAACCAGCATCAACGCCTAGTTCATCTGCTCCCCGAACGATCACGTCATCTGCTGCCAGTCGCGCCAATAAACTAGGCAGCTCTCGACTCAACTCTGCATCGTCTACGTCCTCTACTTCATCTGCTGCGAAAAAGTCTAGACTTGGACTCGGTGCTTCCAAGGCGAAACCGGTCGACTTTGCCGAAGCAGAGCGGAAGGCCCTTGAAGAGGCGGAAAGAGTCAGGCAGCTAGGTTATGATCGGCAGCGAGAAGAGGAGGAAGAAAAGGCCAAGAAAGAAGCTGCCGCTGCCAAAACAGCCTTGGAGATAGGCCCCACGAAAGGGTCTGGATCTACCACCACTGCAGTGAAAAAGCCCAACCCTGCAGCAGAAGCTCAGAAGGCTGCAGCATTTCCAAGACTTGGTTTTGGTGCCGTGCCAGGTACAGGCGCTGCGAACCTTACCGCTGCTGCCAACTCCACACGAATCAGTACTTCTTCGCTTGCTGATGACTCTCCCACCACTGCTCGTGACAAGTTCGGGAATCAAAAAGCGATTTCTTCTGATATGTTTTTCGGGCGGAACGCGTATGATCCCGCAGCCGTCAGTGAAGCACAGACGCGGTTGCAATCCTTCCAAGGTGCAACTTCTATATCGTCAAATCAGTACTTTGGTCGTGAAGAGGAAGAGGAAATGGGTATGGGTCGCAGGGGTGATGAAGGGCTGCTTGGAGATGGTAGCCTCGCTGGCCTGGAGGTTGCCGCACGTGATGCTCTCAACCGTGTTCTGGCAAATCCTGACGTGCAAAACGTTGGAGAGAGCATCCGAACAGGCGCTTTGAAGGTATGAGCCTCGTCTCCTGAGGATTCTATCATATCTTGATGCTTATGTTTCCAGCTTTCCGATTACTTAGCTCAAATGTCTGAGAGAGGCTGAATGGGGTGGGGTGGTTGTTGTTGCGTTTTTTGTGTTTTTCTTTTGGATGGTCTTATTACGCATTTACATTACTCGTAGGATTGAAATGTCAGCGTCAGTGAATACATATCTACTAGATCTGGTCACCAAACAAAGGTCCTGCGGTGTTCGATAAGACTACTTCATTGAAATGCGAGTAGCGGATCTCCGGTACCTCCGTTGACTACTCCTCCAGCTCCTCCTCGAGTTCTTGGCGTCTATGTCAGTGCGGGTGATGATGGCCTCGTGTTGAGGATAATTTGAATTCCGCCCCCAGCATGAAAACCATCACTCTTTTGATTGGTCAGTCTACAGGAGAACCCGGCCAAAATGTGCGGGCGTAATGTACACAGAGTGCATCGCCATTGTTCTGGTTGCTGTCAAAAGTCAACGTGTTTTCCATTCAACGTCAATGTCTCCGGTGAGCCTATTTCCTGGAAAACAATGCACGTTTCGCTTTCAGACATCGGGCCATTTTCCGGCAGCCGGGTGGTATAATCGAATGCGTAGGCTACTACCTTGGTAACGATGGGGAGGCCCAGCCTTATGGCCCCAGCTGCGTCTACGAGTCAGTTTTCTTTTGCAAAACTACGAGCTCGTCGTAAGGGTACTTCAATAATTGCAACAAACGCTCGTAGTCGTGCGCAACAACCTTTATCTCGTATCATGATGCGGCAACGTCACTGTGGGTTCATACTCCACTGCTTCCTAGTGTTTTCAGATGGTTCCAATTAACCCCTTCTTTTGTTGGATTCTTAGGACGGGACCACTTACCCAAAAGGCATTTCCAAAGAGCCTACTTACCCGTGGTGTCTGAAATTTTAACGGCATCGTTGACAACGACCTAGAATTTCACCTTCGACCAGCGCTTCATCGATTCCTGCCGCAATTATCAGTAAGCCGTGCTTTCAATCGTCTTTGCCGTGTGTGAGTGATATATTCGATGATGACCGCCACATGCATGCTTCCCATAGTTCTAAAAGGGCGCGGCTGGCTTTAGAAAGTTTTCTGGGGTCTCATTGGCGATTCAGTTTCAAGGCGCTAGAGCAAGTCAGCTGGCAGCGTGGAGTGGCCACGTGGCTGGCGAACCTTCTTCCCTCGAGCGTAGGTCTCGACGTAGTACTGCGTCGCTACCAACGATATGGCCATCTCAAACTCCGAAACCTTCAAGCTCCGTACGTCTTTCCCCAGCTTCATCCTTGACCCTTCCGGCTCAGTATCACTCGCACCAGTTCCCTCCGATGTGATATGTAAACCGATAACAAGGCAGCAAACGATAGCGTTACGCCATTCCGTGCTTTGGCCTGGAGAAAACGTCACGAAAGTGTTACTACCGGAAGACGAACTGGGCTGGCATTTTGGTGCCTTCGTACCGTCTCGTGTCGAACCAATTGCCGTCATCTCCCTTTTCGCTGAACCGGTTCCCATGAAATCCATCGATGGTCCTCTGGATCGGGTCCCCGCTACCGATGACCCTGCAATGCCAGAAGGCATGGCTACACGATTCCGCAAATTTGCCTGCGATCCTTTGTTTCAAGGATGCGGAGTCGGAACAAAATTGCTGACATACGTGTTTCACTTTGCGCGTTCAGATCTGCACGCGAGAGTGGTATGGTGTGATGCAAGGGTGTCTGCGTCCGCTTGGTATAGGAAGCGGTCAATGGTTTCATTCGGGGATCCATTTTACAAGGGGGCTGTGGAGTATATTCGAATGAGAATTGACTTGGAACCTCTTACAGGAGGTTGAACGCAAGGCCTGAAGGTGAGTGTGATACCGGTGTGATTATGGGGCCTTTTTCTGATTATCAAAACCGGCAGACAAAAGTGCGGCTATTTTTTTTTTTTTGGCCAGGTCTCTCGGAAACCAACAGTTTATTAATTCACTGTAACCGCATGGACCGTTGTGAAATGAATCGTCGCCTCGAGACGGTCTTCTAATAGCTAGTAGTTTTATATATCTCTCAAATTCATCACTATTATATTTTATCCTTCCATCGAAGCTTGTTCGCCAAGCGTATGTCTTTATCTCGGAATTCGGAATCCTCATGCTTCTACGTCATGGCTCCAAGGGCGAATCCCATCCGTTCTTTGGTTTTTTTCAATACCTGTCTGAGTCTTATCACTGTGACAGACCGGCGTCAGTAAATAATACCTGCTCTGGCCCTATCAGCTGTGAGTGATATGGCAGAGTTTCGACTGTGATCTAAACCGGAAAGGAAGGATCAATACGGTGCCAACCGCGGAACAATCAGACAAATACCGCAGTGCGGTCAATTACAAGCTTTCACGTGGCAGCCCTTAGAGTTCTGGAGAAGACGCGCGTCTGGTACTTCCTTCACGTTGAGGAATCCTATAGGCCACGTTTGGCCATGTATGACCTTGAGAGGGACAAAAATGGAACGACCTCTGGTCCAAGTTTCGGTCATTAATTTCATCTCGTAGGCTGTTGGTATTTCAACCCGTGTAGTTACTATCGGCCGACCCCCGGGCGCACCAGCGGCGGATCGATAGGATTTTTTGGATGTCCGCTGATTGTACATTGTTCACTCGATTAGGAGGTTCGGTGGCCTTTCGGGGATCCTGATTCGGTTCGGACAGTCTAATGTAGATCCGTGTGTTTTGAGCTACGAGCTACTCAGTACTGGCAACAATCAAAATATAGAATAACAAACCATCTGCCAGTATAAAGAGATCCGTAGTTGCGAGTCTTGTCATCCAGCGCCTCTTTTTCCTTCCCCTCATCCCCCAATCTCTACGTAGCTACTGTCCTCTCCTCATTGTCCCTCCCTGTCTTCGGGGTATCAGCGAATGCCTGTACGTGCAGTTAGCGCGTCAGTTGGCTGCAGCTTCCTCGAATGACCTCTTTCTTATTCACGTCATTCCATTCATATTCTGCGATGTCGGCCCGTGAATACTGAGTGACCATCGTTCATCACTCTCATTTAACTATTTTCTATGAAACACAGACCGTCTACGTGTCTCTTGGCTTCTTTTCTGCTGGAGACGAGCGGGCTCTGTTCATAGCCAAAATAGTTAGTGGGAGTCATTGCTTCGATGGTCCTTACGTACACTCTTGGGCGCGCCCAGACTTGTGTTTCCGTGGAGGTCTGTAGTACCACCGGATGTTGATTTGTTTATTGGATGTACAAGTACTACTCATGGTGCTTAAAATGCAAACTCTCAAAAGATATTTTTACGCAAGGACGTCTGTCGTCCAGGAAGGATTCCAACACGCACACGGATCAAAGCTTGAGGAAATCTAGCATCATAAGCTATCAGGTACCAACTAAAACCCTGCATCCAGCAACTTCAATCGTGATACATAAACACCTGATGTAGGTGTTATTTTTAGCGGCCTCGTAAGAGTTGCCTTTTAAGGGTGTGAATTCTCGTTATGCTTACGTTCTAGCACTAGGATCGCAGAGGATCGTCAGGTTGAGAGTTTCGCGACATTGACGTCGAGCCATTGTGCCTGATCGTATCCACGGTCCTGCAAGACATTGAGTTTTGTGAGAACCCAAGTCAGCGAACGGTTGCACTTGTTGCATCAAGGCATGAATACTTGGTACAGTTGTGTTCACCCACCCACCGCACGCCGCAGATCATTCCAAGTCAGGAGACATGTAATTGCTTTTTTTTGCTAGGGTTATAGTGGGTCTTGTACTTATGCTCGCAAACTTTGCACCGACAGATCGGTAACTTGTTGGGACCCTGCAACGTGAGCTTTCTGGAGATTTGTACGCGACGGATTCGTCATCACCCAAACAGCGAAAGAAATGATATCTGTGTCAAGTGACACCCCACGGGCCGAGGAGATGGCAGCAGAAACAGCGAAGCTACTCACAAAGGATTAGAATCAAAACATTGAACTGACGCACTCATCAGAAGCCCATAAGTCTGATTCGGTCAGGTCGTCAGCCCACTCCTCACAGCCAAGTTTGTCTCAGGGAGCAGAGATATACTCTTTTAGAAGTGTGATAACATGGAAGGTAACGTAATGAGTATGTGATACGCCGGTTAAAGATACTCTGATCTATCCTCCAGTTCGGAATTTATTGGGTAAGCTTTCTCGGACGTTACGAAGATGCGGTGCAATATATATCATCTGTAATGAGAGCATCAGAACTGATTCACAACTGTAGGCATGGATAGCCCGCTAAAGCGAAAAGTCAGGGAGCCTCGAGTTCTTCCGTCATCGTTGAGACTTTCAAAAGTGGTGCTGTAATTCATGGCGTGGAAATGAGGGTACGGATGTCCTTGACTCCATAGAGTCACCACCAAATGTGTTGATAGTACAGTGCTTGAATAATTGTATGATTAGATCAACTGACGGGATAAAACACTGCTTAGTGTGTTACGACGGTTGGCGTCGGGCGAATGGCGTTCAGTGCTATAAACGGAAGTGCCTTTCCGGGTCGGATAAATCTTACGTCATTATTATTTGCTCATGTATTACTGTAGCATCGGGTCACCCGGAAACTCTTCTTGTTCAAATGTCGACAAGCGCCACGCTCAACATCTGTCACGCGCCGGGAATCTTCACTGAGGCTCTACCCTTTCCTTGGGTCCATCTACACTAAGCCTTCCGAAGGGCGCGCCAAAAAAAATACAGTACTTTTCATATCAGTTCTCGTGACTGAATAATTAATAATTTGTGCGGTACGTACGCGTATGATGCCGTCGACAAATTCTGACAAATCTATCGTTTTACTCAGGCGTTTCACTCTTCTTATTATGGTTCTTGCTATGTCAGATACCATTACAACTGTCAGCAAAGTGCCTTAGCGCGTTGCCTGGAGCGCAGGAATATATAGGGGCGGCCCACGGCGCCCACGTAAAGCACCCCATCAGTTTATCCGGCTATCCAGCCTAGTCTCGGAAACTGATGATTGCGGGAGGTTTCGTTGACACGTCCTTGGGGTGTTACGCGTATCGAGCCGATTACATCTTGGTTAAGATATATATTTATGGATGGCTGCGCTGTGAAATTAACCGCATCTCCACATTTCCTCCAATCCATATCATGCCCGGGGAAGAGACTCAAGCGCCTTCTTCTGGGGAGTCGGCCATTTCCCACGTTGATGTCAACTACTTCAATCCTGATGGCGACGGAGAATTGCGTAGGTCTCTCAGTCGAATGTCGGCGGCGACCCAGAATATCGAAGAAACAGGATCTTCGGATACGCTCCACGCTTTTGATTTACGAAAAGTATTGGAACAAGTAGCTGAACAGTATGTCAATCTCTCCTTGGGTCTGGAGTTGTGTTCACCAATTTCTTCTTAGGCGTGAAAAAGCGAATATCAAGTCACGAGAATTGGGAGTCATGTTTGAAAATTTGCGAGTCATCGGACTCGGTGCCACGGCTTCGTATCAACCAACTCTGGGATCGACTCTCAACCCTTTGGGTATCGTGGAAGGCATCCAGGCCGCTCGACATCCCCACACGCGCGACATTCTATCAGGTTTCGAGGGAGTTGTGAACCCGAGTGAAATGTTGTGTATGCCTTGTTTTTTTTTTGCCCTAGGCTAGCTGTTATTAATATTTCTATTTTTAGTGGTACTGGGGCGCCCCGGGTCAGGCTGCACGACCCTGCTCAAGACTCTGGCTAATCAACGCGGTGAATATCACGCTTTCGAGGGCGATGTCCATTTCGACTCTCTTAGCCATCGCGATGTCTACAAGAATTATCGCGGCGACGTTGTTTACTGTCCCGAAGATGACGTCCATTTCCCTTCCCTTACTGTCGAGCAGACAATTAAATTTGCGGCTAAATTGCGTGCGCCTCACCTTCGTCTGGGATATTCTCGAGAGGATTATGCCGAACACATCACTGAACTATTGACCACCGTCTTTGGTTTGAAACACGTGAGAAAGACCCTTGTCGGCGATGCTGCTATTCGTGGTGTGTCTGGTGGGGAGAAAAAACGCGTGTCCATTGCAGAGGTTCTTGCAACCCGGGCATGCGTGGCGTCCTGGGATAAGTAAGTGGCTTTATATTGCTTTGATAATATAGGATCTGATGTATTCCCAGCTCTACTCGCGGTCTTGATGCGTCCACCGCTCTTGAATTCGTCCGTGCCCTTCGCATTGCCACCGATATTGCGAAAATGACAACCATCGTTTCCCTGTATCAAGCCGGGGAGTCACTGTACAAACTTTTTGATAAGGTAGATAGCTCCCGCTGACCTACTGGCGTGTATCTCATCTGATGACACATTACAGGTCTGCGTGATTTACGAAGGCAAGATGGCATATTACGGCCCTGCTAACGAAGCGCGCTCCTATTTCATCGATATGGGTTATGAGCCTGCCAATCGTCAAACTACTGCGGATTTTCTCGTTGCCGTTACCGATCCCAATGGCCGGATACCGCGTTCAGACGCCTTGCATCTTCCCCGGACTGCGGCGGAATTTGCAGCCCACTTCCAAACTTCGGGGATTTCCAAAGCGAACAAGGCCGAGATTCAGCTTTTCAAGGCGGAACGTGTAGGCAAAGCCGATATGGTTCAGTCGTACAAGGAGAGCGCACGAGAGGATCATTCGAAGCATACACGATTGGGTTCCTCACACTTGACATCACTGCCGATGCAGGCTAGAGCGGTCATGCTACGGCGAATACAGATCCTGAGAGGGAACTTGTTGGCGACGATTTTGAATCTTTTGTAAGCGATGCCACGGTGATGAAATTCCGGAAACATTTGCTCATGAGAGTGATAGTTCCTTCCTCTTCCAAGGTATCATTATTGGCTCCGTGTATCTCAAAATCTCTACTTCCACGAATGCATACTTTTCTCGTGGGGGTGTCTTGTTCTTGTAAGTGATGTCCTGGCTCATTTTGGATTATCTAACGCTTATTTAGTGCATTGTTTTTCTCTGCTTTGATCTCCATGGCCGAAATCCCTGCACTCTATGCTCAACGGCCTATCATACTTCGACAACACTCGTGGGCGCTATATCATCCCTTTATCGATCAAGTGGCTTTGGTTCTGGTCGATATCCCCATGGCCTTTGCATCGTCGGTGATCTTTTCGGTCTTAATCTATGAGATGGCGCAATTACAGCAGTCAGCGGGACAGTTCTTGTGAGTACTTTTTTTTCATCTGTGGGAACATTATCGTTCATCTCTCCCCTTTCAGCATATTCTTCTTGTTCATGTTCGTCGTCTCCATTACGATGAAGAGTTGGTTCCGTGCCGTCGCGTCCGCTTTCGCGGCAGAAGGTGGGAAGGTTCGGCCGGTTTGCTTCGTCATTGTGCTTATTTTGAACTAGCGCTTGCCCAAACGTTTGCTGGTATTTCTGTATTGGCTTATGCTGTCTATACCGGGTATTCACTGCCTTTACCATCGATGATCGGTGCTCTCAAATGGATATCGTATCTCAATGTATGTCTTGGTGACGTACTTTTTATGTCATTACTGACAGAGAACGTATGTAGCCTTTGAGGTGGGGTTTCGAATCAGTCATGACCAACGAATTTCGCTCTATCAATGGCAGCTGTGGTTCCTTGGTTCCGCGTGGAGCAGGATACGAGAATGTCTCCTTGGACAATCAAGTATGCCCTGTCGTCGGAGCGCAATCCGGCCAGGCTTTCGTTGATGGAAACACCTTTGCGTACCTTTCATTTGATTATCGTTTCAGTCACACTTGGCGGGTATGTGTCTGTTTTGACATGCATCGCCGATTTCTCATCAGTTTGGCATAGAATTTTGGCATCATCATCGCTTTCCTTGTCGTGTATACCTCAGCTCTCCTCATTTTCACTGAAGTCAATACAAAGTTAACTTCGGCAAACTCCGTCGTCTTGTTCAAGCGTGGGGCAAAAACCGATGCAGTGCCGAAGAAAAGCTCCGACAATGATGACGCCGAGAAGGCTTCTCAAACCACAACACGAGGTGGGGGTCTGAGTGACGAGGAAAAGTCTGGCGATTACGATAAGGCGCTTAAGTCAACGCCTTCTGTGACGGATGTGTTTTCCTGGCAGCACTTGACTTACACCGTTCCAGTTGCGGACGGAAAACGAAGACTTTTGAATGGTGTTTCTGGATTTGTGGCCCCGGGAAAACTCACTGCACTGATGGGGGAATCGGGTGCTGGTAAAGTGCGATTTTGGTCTATTTCTAGGCGGCAAATGTGAACTCCCGGCTGATTATATTCTGTGTTAGACGACCCTTCTTAATGTCTTGGCGGAGCGTGCCAACGTTGGTGTCATTACTGGCGACCGGTTCGTTAATGGACATGCCCTCCCAAGGGATTTCCAATCTCAAACGTATGTCTAGACTTATTTTCCGTTGGACTTCCTTGCGTGCCGATTGACCGGTGTTATAGTGGATACTGTCAACAGCAAGATACTCATGTTGGATCGGCGACCGTCCGCGAGGCGCTTTTATTCTCCGCGCAATTGCGTCAGCCCTCATCTGTACCTCTGAGTGAAAAAGTGGAATAGTACGTGGTGCTTTTATCCGATCGATGATGTTCTCTCATACTTCGGTTCCTAGTGTGGAGAAATGTATCCAGCTTTGTGGTTTGGAACCGTATCGGGACGCGACTGTCGGTTCTTTGAGCATTGAAAACCGGAAACGGACGACCATCGGCGTGGAACTAGCAGCGAAGGTAAGGTCAATGTATCAGCAGATTTATTTGGGAATAATTCGGTGCCTCTGCTACAGCCCAAACTACTGTTGTTTCTTGATGAACCAACCTCTGGTTTGGATTCCCAAAGCGCTTGGGCAATCATGCTTTTCCTTCGTGATCTTGCAGACAATGGACAAGCCATTTTGTGCACGTAAGTCATCGGATTTCTAGGTGGATACCTACTCTGGGCTGACACAATCCCCTACTAGCATCCATCAACCATCGGCAGAACTCTTCCAAATGTTCGATCGTCTGTTGCTTCTCCGGAAAGGTGGTGAGACCGTCTATTTTGGCGATCTAGGTCACAATGCCACGACCCTCATCGACTACTTCCATGCTCACGGGTCACGTCGATGTGAGCCGGAGGAGAACCCGTATGTCTCGCCTTCATATGTGATTATAACGCGTTTCTGACTTACAACGTGTTACAAGTGCTGAGTTTATGCTTGACGTCATCGGCGCCGGTGCATCTGCGACCACGAGAGAGGATTGGCATGAGATCTGGTGTAACTCGGACGAATTCACGAAGGTTCAGGGACAGATCCAGGAAATACACGCCAAAGGGCGTTCGCAGCCTGCGGTGGGAACTACCTTGCATTCGGAGTATGCCACATCTTGGTTCCATCAAGTGGTACAGCTCGTTAAGCGTGATGCTTCCGACCATTTCCGCGATCCTAGCTACATGATGGCCAAGATGATGCTGAATATTATCGCTGGTCTTTTCCTTGGATTTTCATTCTTCAAGTCAAAGCATACGCAACAGGGTACACAAAACAAACTCTTCGTGCGTTTCTCTTGTCGTTCTTTCCGCCATTACTACAGCTAACATCTTGTTTTCCCCCCCTCCCCCGCGCGCGCGCCCCCAGTCTATCTTCATGTCCACCATCATTAGTGTTCCTCTGGCGAATCAGCTTCAGATTCCCTTCCTCAATATGCGCTCCATCTACGAAATTCGCGAACGTCCAAGCCGCATGTACACTTGGACTGCCTTGGTGACTTCGCAGATCCTCGTCGAGGTACCCTGGAATATCCTCGGGTCATCTCTATACTTCTTCTGCTGGTACTGGACGTCTGGGTTTACCAGTGATCGTGCGGGATACAGCTATCTCATGATGTGCTTGATATTCCCGTTGTACTATACTACGATTGGGCAGAGCATCGCTGCTATGAGTCCCAATGCGGAGATCGCTGCTATTCTCTTTAGTTTCCTCTTCTCGTTCGTGCTCACGTTGTAAGTGAAGCTCCTTTGCTCTTCCTTTGTTCTATTGGCTTATATATCGGACAGTAATGGTGTTGTGCAGCCTTATCGAGAGCTCGGATGGTGGAAGTGGATGTAAGTTTAAATTATGCTCTCGAGTGCATGTATCTCACAGTTCCTGCAGGTACCGTCTCTCCCCGTACACTTATCTTATTGAGGGTGTGCTGGGCCAAGCCGTCGGTCACCAGGATGTTACGTGCTCGTCAGTGGAACTGGTCACCCTCAATCCCCCCGCTGGACAAACATGCAGCCAGTACATGCAAACCTACATTGCAAGAGCGGGTGGGTACCTCACCAATCCCGATGCTTCGTCAGCCTGTGGCTTCTGCTCGACTCGCACCACTGATGAATTCTTGTCCAACAATTTCAATATTTTCTACTCACATCATTGGCGGAACGTTGGACTAATGGCCGCTTTCATTGTCTTCAACGTAAGCTTTCCCATTTTTTTGAGGATTTGTTTAGAGGTTGAACCTATGCTTTATAGATTGTAGCAACTTTCGCATTCACTTTCTGGTTTAGAATCCGTACCCGGAGCGTACTAGACATTATTCGTGGCCGTGGACGTAACACGCATTAAGTAGAAGTGATGACTCATACTGTAACACTTAGTCGACTTATAGATACTAGACCTACTTAGCCGTCTCTAATTAGACGGTGCTATCATTTTAGACATTATTTAATTATGGACGATGAATGTTCCGTGGACAATGCATTAACGCTAGAATTTTTGATGAAAATTATTATGGCAAAAATTATGTTTGTTCAGTTTGAACCGTATCGTTCTTTGCTTTCTTACCACCACCACAACCTTCATTTCGCCTCGGCCGATGTCGATATCCAGCGATGACAAACTGATCACCTGTTCGCACTCATGATAAAAGGGCCTGGAAGCGGATGAAATTGTACATATTTTTTCCCATCGTCCTTCCTCATCGATGCTGACCACGTCTTCAGTGTTTTTGCGAACCCTCGCAGAGTGTGGTATCACTCATGCGTTCGTGAATTGGGGCTCTGACCATCCGGCATTGCTCGAAGAACTCGAAAGACAGCGAATCGAGGATGGGAAGACTTCACCGCTTATCGTAACGTGTCCGAATGAAATGGTCGCGCTGAGCTCGGCGCAGGGATATGCGCAGGTGACTGGGAAGCCAGCTGTGGTTATTGTGCATGTCGATGTGGGCACCCAGGTGAGTGTTCACCTTTCCGTTTTTTCGCGCCCCCCCTTCGGCCTTCATGCATATTGAGTGCGGCAGGCTCTAGCCGGTGCTATTCACAATGTCGACCGCGGGCAGACGCCCGTCCTCATATATGCGGGTGCTTCGGCATTCTCCAGCGATGGAGAATTGAAAGGATCAAGGAATGAATGGATAATGTGGATTCAAGGTGTGGAGGCTTTCTTATCTTAGCGACGCGCGACCTCTGAAATGGAGTAGATGTTCCGGACCAGGCAGCGATAGTCCGCCAGTATATGCGTTATACAGCGCAAATTAATAGCAGTCACACTGTCGCTGAGGTTGTCAAGCGATCCGTACAAATGTGTGTGCGTTCTTGTCTCCAGCGAATTACGATAACACTTTTGCAGTGCGACCAGCCATCCGAAAGGGCCCGTTTATTTGTGGGGCCGGAGAGAAGTCATGGAGGCTGAAGTCGATGCCTTCGTACTGGATGCTACAGGAAAAGATCTCCACCAGTGGCCGTCCGTTGAGGCGACTGCTTTGGCCCCAAAAGCGCTGGCCACCATTGCTACTACCCTCTTGACTGCTGCGAATCCTCTTATCATCACCTCTTCTCTCGGCCGAAATGTGAATGCTGTGGAGCCGTTGCTCGTTCTCTCGACTCTTCTTGCGATTCCGATTTCTGTCACTTGCCCTTCAGCCGTCAGCGTCCCTTTCTCTCATCCCTTCCTCTCCGGCATTTCGTACCTTCAATCGAATACTTCTAATAGCCATCTTGCGAATGCCGATGCCATCCTTATTATCGACTCGGACTTACCATGGATTCCTGCTCTGGCGAAACCCAACGACGAAGCCCGGGTCTTCGTTGTCTCGGGTGCGGACCCACTCAAAGCATCGTCCATCGGCTCATGGCACGTTGCAGCAGAAATGATCTGCCAGGCGGACGCCCAAGTGGCCCTTACGCAGATAGTGGAGCGCGTCAGGCAGCTTGACGAACAGAGAGGGAGCGTTGGGGAGCAGATTCTTGGGAGCAGGATTGTGCAAGAGCGAGGGCAGCAGCTCAAAGATGCCCATGCTGCATGGCTTGAAACTTTGGTCAATCGAGAGCGGGAATTTTCGGGAGACCATTTGACTGTTCCGAACGTCATTGGGGGATTGAGAAGAGCCATCGAATTGCATACACCAAGTCGTGGGATGAAAACGCTGGTCCTAAATGAAAGCATAAGCAATTTTGGACCAGTATGGGAGCATCTACGCCCGACGGTCCCAGGCAGTGTGCTGACTTCCGGTGGTTCGTCTTTAGGTTGGGCTTTGGGAGCGTCCGTCGGCGCTTATATTGGAGGCAAGGTGAAAAGCTACCAGGTCCAAGGAACTCAGCCATACGAACTTGTTGTGGCAATTGTAGGAGACGGATCGTTTATGTTTGGTGTTCCCAGTTCTGTCTACTGGATGGCTCGAAAGTATGACACAGTGGGTGGCAATTTCACTGGCTGCGCACTCATTGACTGATCATGGATGTTAGCCTTTTCTGACCATCGTTTTGAACAACGGCGGTTGGAAGGTACGTTGCATTGGAATTTGCTGCTTGTCCTTACATCTAACGCAGTCTCCTCGTTTAGTCTCCTAAGCTCTCTATGCTGGGTGTATACCCCTCAGGTCTAGGTAGTCAGGCTATTGGCGAGCGACTCTCTGTAGGATTCGGTCCGGATAGCCCCGACTTTTCGCAGATTGCTATAGCCGCTTCCGGCGGTTGGGCTTGGGGTAGGCGAGTGGCTGGCAGTGATGCTACAGCTCTGGAAGAGGTCTTGGAAGAAGCAGTCAATGTTGTTGTGAAGGAACGCCGATGCGCTATCCTTGATTGTATATTGGAGTCCATCTGATGATTTCATACTCTCAGTGAGCGTTGACCGTCATTGAACCTTAAAGAGCTGCCGAGTTCTTTAACGCCGCAAGAGAAAGAAAATCTGATTGACCTTTGTGGGAATAGGCGCTTAAGAGATCGAAGTTGTTTGCGCCTTATGCAGGACTATTTGCAGGCAACTCCCACTACTGTCGCTCGTCCTCAAGGCCCCAATGATGATGATCCAAGTTCTCAGAAAGACACAGGTTGGGCATGCAAGAAGAACGATTGTAACATCTGTGGCGTGAGTGGCTTGCAGATTATGAGAGACTCTAATTTTCATAACTCTTATTATAGTGTCGTGCGGTTGGCAGGACGTCCTAATGGTCCCATTGCAGGAGGGGGGATTGCTCGACCGAAACCCCCGACTAGACCACCGGCTAGACCTAAACCAAGCCTATGACGTGGAGAGTTTTACCATGGAGAACTATCGGGGGAAGGAGTAGGACGTCCTTGTACGAGCCTCCGACTGTGTGTTAGGGTGATAGTATAGTCAGGCAGGTCTAGCGACCAAGCTTCTTCATACCCTTGTTCTCAATGCGTCAAAAGGATAATAAGCCGGAATCCCGGCACTGGGCGCTTAACTATATCTGACGTTAAAGTTGGAGGCAGAGGATGTCAATCGGGAAGAGGTTTTCAACGTTAGTTCGTTCAACCTTCCGAGAAGCAACAATCGCAGTTCTGAAAGGATATCCCGAGTCGGACTTTCACCCTTATGGCATATGCCCTAACAGTTATATTTGAATCCGGGTATCGATCCGCTTGTTCTTGCAATCGATCCACAACAGAACGAATGGCTTCATCAGACAAAACGTTTGTTTATTTCTCCGGATTGTACGTACGTTCTGACCCTGGCACTTCTAGAGAACAACCGACGGCCGCCGATTCGCCGGATGAGAACAAATCGGAGACGCCGGTCGTGGATAATGCAGCAGCAGCAGCGAGTAACGACAACACATCAGAGGAGAAATCTCAGCCCGGTACAGGATCTGGAACTCTGAACGAAGCTAGTACCCCTGGCGGCGAGGCAGCTGGATGTAATGCTGGACAACAGCTTGCGGCCGATTCTGATTCAGAGGAGGAGGAGGAGGAGGAGGAATGGGACATGTCGCGCATGTGAGTTTTTTGAATATCTCCTTGCGTTTGTTTGACCAAGGTGAACGTAGGGGATTCAGAGGACCCATTGGAATCCCTATGACTGGCGGTGGAGGCCTCAAACGACCCATGCAGAAACCCCGACCTAAGCCCTCTACTTAGATCGCCAAATCATTTTTGTGTACGACCCGATGGTGGAAGGAATCTAATATGAAATCTCGATAAGGCGTGAGCATTGACCAATGTTATGGTGCAACAAGGAGAGAGGGATAAAGAGTATGGATTGACATTTCCGGCAGTTGGGTTGTCCGTGTGCGCAAAACACCGGGACTCGGTGTTACTTTGAGCGAAAAGAAGCCAAGAGATTTAACGCGGGACCCGATACAAACGCGCTATCTTTTCTCACCCTGTTTTATTAACTTCCAAGCAGAACGTCGACATGAGCAACGTGTCCTGGTTGATCATTTGATCATCAAGAGGCTGCGAAACGAAATTCTCCGGACGGTAATATGACTTCAACCCCTGGTTCTGTTGGGCTGTCTGAGTGGCTCAAAGACTTATCATGGGATTGGTCTTCGTCTGCTGTCTTGACAGACTTGTGCCGGTGGTTTTGAATTATTTCTCTCCCAAATCTCTTCTAGGACGCCGTTGATGCATGTTGTTCTGAAATGCTTTATTACCAATCCAATCCTTCAACCTTCCGAAAGTTACTCGAGAATGCTTCAAAATCGTAAAAATATAGGCAAGCGGTCTGATCATGCACGAAAATCATCTTTAAACGGCGAGGACGGAAACGGCTTTGCGACCTCTCGGACTTCTTTTGATTCGAGTTGTGCTCTGTCCCGCAAGCTCCTGCCCGCTTTCCCATTCATAGTATCTGCCACAGAAATCTTGCAGAAATCGCGTTCTTGAGATCTACAGTGGGAAATGTATCTTTACCAGGTTGCATGCCCTCGTACTTAGGTCCTGCCAGTGTGTTTTTCCAATTGCCCCGTATCAGAAGTTCACCTAGCGACTCTATATTGCGTTGAGTTCTGACCCTCTGTATGCCATGCCATGTGAATCATTCCTCGATACCTTGGAAACATTGAAATTTCTGCCGGCCTCTGTATAGCGGAGGTTGTGACCACTCTTACTACGGACTTGTCGATTTTTTTCCGCGCAAGACGTATGTGACATCTACAGACTACGCCCGGCATCATCCTTCGTTTGACTGCGCCGTGTAATACTACTTATCGTAGTATTTACTGCAGATAAACGCCGCTCAGAAGATGATACTTGTCCTGTACGGGGGGGCACTTAACGTTCCGAGCCGTTCACATGCGGTCCTACATTGGTACATCGTTTTCTTCTTTAGTGGAAAGACTCACGTAGCTTGCGCATACGATCCTATCCCTCAACGGGGGGCTCACCTCTCTTCAAGGCTTTCATTCGTCGCCTATGACAAAAGCCGCTGTCGTCTAACTCCGACCTCGACGTAATGTATATCGGATCTTTTCGTCAATTCCCGTTCATGCGATTCAGACGGGATCCTACCCAGATGAAATCTGTATGAGTTGCTACAATGAAGATTTCTCTCGAGCGAGGCCTAGACTGCCCTTAGCTCTTTATTTGGCAGAGACCATTCCAAAGATGGAGGAGCTGCTCAATACGTTCTGCTATGAACCTTAGTGCTATGCGCCTTTCTGAAGATTTTGACCCGAATGCTTCTCGTTCAATTCAAAGGGATAAAAGAATCATACTAGTACTACTAATACTTGCGTATTCACAGGGAATCCATCTCAGCTCGGTTCGTCTACGGACATATTACCGCTATTTTTGTGCGAGTAAATATGGCATCTTTCTCATTTCTTTTCCACATGACTAGCTTGGTGAGAATGCGCGGGGCAAACACGGCGCCTCGCCTCAATCTTTGTCCTCCATATCGCAATGGTAGACGACTGTCGAGTACAAGTTCGCGACCACGAAATAAAAAGTAAACCCCCCCCCCCTAGTCGTTAGCGCGTCACAATATTCACGTTTCCGAAAGCGACAACTTTCAAGGTCCTCCTCTTCCCAGTCAACGGCGACCAGCCCCATCTCGTTGACATGGTTTTCAGCGAGGCTGGAGCCAAATCCCATCCGCGCGGTTTCTACAGTACAGCAGTCGACCTGCGAGGACTATACGGAAAATATACAGCAGGATATACGCGGCTGCTTAGATTCGATATCCAAGACCACGAAGAACCCCTCGACGGCCGGTACCATTTGTATTACAATATTAGTCCTCGTCTCCCTGTCAACCACGCAATGGCCAGAATCGTGGGTGTAGATCCTAAAAGACCTAGCTCTCGGCCGATGTGGAAAGGCGACGTTGTTATCATAAAGAAGCAGCCGGAAATGGAGAGCGAAGAACCCAAATCAGTGAGCTACCTCGATGTCTCCATGGCGATTCAGGGAATTGCGGAGAAAACGATTCGCGGGTGGTACAACTCGGATATGTGGGCGCCGAATGCAAGAATACAACACGAGTCTCTTGACTGTGCGTTTTCCTTTATTAGTTATGCTCTGCATGGTCCGGTTGACGCCGCTTTCGCGTGGTGCGCCTGTATACAGTCCATTTAGCAAATGAGGAGCCTACAGATCCTCGATTGAAGCTGCTGAAGGATTTGGGCACATACGAATTGGTGACGGACGAGAAAAAACGACGTATGTCGATCAGCTCGTGAAATATACTGCGTTGACAGGCCAACAGGAAAACAGGAGAAGATTTATGAGAGAGTCGTAGCAGATGGTGCACCTAAAATGAGCTTTCTCGCGAATTCGGGGCTGATATATTTTGTTCGTAGAAAAGAAGCGCCTCGTCCGGTGTGACAAATTCGAATCGAAGCTATGCGCCCGTTGTGGGGCTTCCGATCTCCCCACTAGATCCCAGTGCAGTAAGTGCAAGAAAGTATTCTATTGTTCTGTGGAATGTCAAAGACGTGATTGGGTGGAACACAAGGAACACTGTACTTGAAGAGAAAAGCCACGATTAGCAGCACTATTAATAATGTGCATATACAGCAGCATGATTGTCTTTTCATTAGAATAGTTTTGTAGTTGATAGACGACCATGTTCACTCAAGTGGGCCGGTCTCCATAAAGACGCTGGAATAGAGTAATCCCTCAAGACTTCCCTCCTGGAGACCGTAGTGCACCACATCTGCCTGTTGAGCCGGTGAATCCAATGGGTTAACAAGAGGCGGCTGTTTTGATTAGTTAAATAGGATCCTGTTCCCGGAATCATATAAACCTTACCTTTAGGATCCCAAAATGAAAATCCCCAACGATGTCCGCACCTGCAGAATCATTTGGCATCACGTCGGTGACAGCATCAAGGGGAGCCTCATTTGTGGAATAGAACACTTGGAAGGTGAGATTTCCCCAATCGACTTGCACAGCGAAATTATGCCATGTCTTGCTCGTGAAAAGTATAGTAAACAGAATGTTCAAATCGTGATCGAGCACTTTAAATGAGGTAGCATTCGGTGCTGGGACTACGCCTGTAGGGTTTGTGAATGGCGAACCTGTTATACTGTCAGAGATAATTTGCGTCATATCTTGACTGACTTACCGAGCTGAAGTCCGAACACATGCGACCCATCAGTTGGCTCGATAAAGACTACCTGATATTCGTGCGTATAGTTCAACGGATGACTCTCATCAGCTTTAATGGAGAAGTGAAACACCGACACGCCAGTGTCCATCTCCTCATTCAGAGCAGTCGCGTTTTCCATCCTTTTGGGCTATAAGTTCTGTCCGGCGAAACCCATACTGTGGCGAGGAACCTCCCGGAGTGAAAATCGACGTCCAGTCAATCGTTATAGAGACAGCTTGCTCCGTTGATGAGTAAGGGACGAAGCTAGTGTACTAGAAGTAGGTTATGAACTTCTGACGATGACGAAGAATATTGAATGCGATACAAAAGATGCACTTTCAAGCCCTTTGACAGCACTGTTCGTCGCCAAGAATAGTATCAGCAATCTCATGACTCCGATAGACGGACGCACATTGAAAAAGGACCTACAGATGTATCGAGAATAGAGTTGCTCATGCCAACTGGGACTCTGCCATCATAGAGAATGGTAGCAGACGCTCCTAGGACAGAGAGTATGATGTTGGCGAAACGAGAAGCCATTGCTCTGTGGTTTGTACCGTTCAAGACCTTTTGAACACGGATATATGTCGGGTATGGGAGTTCTTCGGCTTCTGCTTCCGCTGGTCGTCACTTCAACGCCTGATGTTGCAATTATAAGGCATATTGTACTGGCATGCGAGTATCGTTAGTTTTGATTCACATGTAAGGCAAACTCTATTTACTTTGTCGCCAGACTCACCACCGTGCGGGAAATCTTGTTGTATCTTTCATATTGTGACGATTAGTTCCTCGGAGTTCGTCCACTTACTACCGGAGGAAAGGCGGGCGTTGAATTGTGATTCACAATCTGTCCTTCGCTTAAAAACAAAGGTACTTGGCAATTAACAAAGCTCGGGCCATTGATACTGCATTCCTTCTGCTCGACAGGGAATCTGTGATGGGCAAGAATAATAGCACTCAAGGTCAAAGTAGTAACGTCACACCGGAATCATTGTCGTTACCTTCCATAGAACCAAATTCTCGACTGCTTGACGCTATTCCGTCTCTACGTAAAACTGTGACATTCAAAGTTTGAGAAATAGCATCTACCTGAAAATATGAGTTGTACAGAGAGGTTGGCGCATATATTAGCCTACTGAATCTTGCCATGCTGTATTAATGAAGGAAATAACACGAGTAGTGGCGGCAGTCGTCCTACTTGGATCGCGGATACATGACGGTTGAAGGTAGAGAAGTCGGCCTGAAAAACCGAACGAGTGTTTGTCTAACAACGATCACCCGTCCGTGTCCACATCCTAGCTAAATGATGCAGTGTAGATATAGTTCTCGCATATGAAGCCTAGCTAAGCATTGTTGATCCGATATTTGTGGGAACATTCACCGTCCAACTTGACCTCAAGCCCTTGCATCTATTTCGCCTTCTCCTTTCGCCTGATTACCATCTAGCCCTCCTAATAATTTCTTCCCTTTCGCAAGTTCGTACATCATGTTCAACATCCTCCTGCTCAACCCCACTGAATGGTCTTTGGTATTGCAGCAACCGAACTTGGGGCCAACGCCTGACCAGTATTTTCATGATAAGACTTCGAAATGTCAAGACTTCATTTGGAAAGAGGATCTTGACCTGTGTAGAATATTAAAATAAGTCTCCATTTCTGGTTGTAGCAAGGTTGGAAGATGGGTCCGAGATGGGCGGCGGACCACAGCTTGTAGAGATAGACAGAATAAATGTTAGAACTGATAAAACGACTATTAAAAAATAGACTTGGAACAAAGAGGGAATCAAATAAAAAGGAATAACAAGAGCGGAGAAAGGTATCAATATATAAGGACGCGAGGTCTTGAAATATTGGGGAGAATCCCAGTCCTAGGCCAACGGAATAGTGACATTCTTCCAATGGGCGTTCAAGAATGTACCATATTCCGACGCATCGCTCCACGCGCTATCATCGAAACTTGGCTCCTGGAACCCACCCGGCAATCCAATAATGGTCTTCCAAGTGTCATCAGTATAGAACGTCTCCGAACTCCCGTCATTGTACGCAATGAGGATTCCAGCGATGATCGCAGCAGGGCTCACAGGTGCGTCATTCTCCCCATCAACAGCGAACACGTTCACATCCGGATCCAAGTTAGGGATCGAATACGCCTCCATGGCGTGCCAATTGCCTCCAACCCCGACACTGTCACCGTTGACGAATAAAGTATAGTTGTTATCTCTACGGAAATAATATGTGAATCAGAGATAATAGATGGAGAAAGACGGATAGACTAACGCGCCGATAACTACCTTGCCACAAACAGCAGCCTTTCCGTACGGGGAAGTGATGGTGTCTCTGAAGGCCCTATGACCTACAGGATCTTGGCCCTTAGCATCGGTTTCATTAGTCCAGATCCAATAGGCATCAGTCATGTTGATGGCGGGCGGGAGCACGAACGGAGTGCCCCAAGGCGTCTGGGTTCCGGGCAACACCTTGACAGCTGCAAGCCACTCTGAGTCATCAAAACTCGGGCTCGTCCAACCAGTTGGCGGCACGGTTTGGAGAGTCTTCCAGGTCGTGTCAGTGACAACAGTTTCGGTAGTTCCATCTTTGTAGTCAACGAGGATCGTTGCGATGAGCGGTCCGGCGGCTCCTACGGTGTTGTTCACGGCAATGGCAAATTCGTTATCACTTTCAGGGTTCAGACCGACTGTATAGACAACAGTGTTCCGCCATCCTTCCCCCGTGCCAATCTCCACGCCGTTGACGTTGAGGGAGTAGAGGTCATCACTACAAGCGTGTGAGTTCAACATTCTTGTATTCGATACAAAAACCCTACCTAGATAGAATGATAGTTGCACAGACCGGGCATTTGGTACTCGAAGAGGGGATTCTCTTGCGGAATGGTCGCACTCCGAGGTGGGCGGTCGTCTCTCCCGTCCAGATCCAGGTCGAGTCGTCAAAGTTGAGTGTCGGAGCGACGGCGCGTGAATCCAGCGAACGAAGGTGTAACACATCTGAAGTAGCAACATTGGCAGCGACACCTGCAGTTATACTGGTGGCGGTGTCCGCAGAGATATCTGCGACACCGTTAGAGAGATTAATTTTCGGCGGCAGAATGTCTGACCTGGAGTAGATCGCAGCAAACTTCCGGCCACAACGCACAGAAAAGAGGGTAGCAGGAAAACAACTAAACAGTTGGTGAGCAGGGGTTCGTACTCGGAGATAGGCAAAAGAGTGTTCACCCTTGGAAAACATCGTAAAGTTGAGCACGATGAGTTAATTCACTATAACCCAAAACCTTTTATACGGAAGTAACCTCACAGAACTGGCATCAACAGGAAGACATTCACCAAAGCTGACAGCCAAAATTGAATGGAAAGTTGTCCAGAGGAGAAAGAATAGCTGCAGTCTTCGATGAATTATGTCTGTGTAATAATAGGTCGCAAATTGCAAGGATTCGGAAGCGTGAGCTCCGCCATAGGCGCCTGCAGGAACTAATTCTGTTTATGTTATAAAAGGGTAGATTATCCCTTTCAGACCACGAAAAATTTCCTGACTCTATCCCGGTGCTCATGTAAAACGACACTGCAGAGACTTATCGGGCAAACTCGAACTTGGAGCTGCTGATACTAAGTCAGAAAAGGTCTTGCCCAATTATTATTCCGCATGATGTAGGTCGGAGTCAGCTGAAGAAGAAAACACAGGAAAACTTAAGTCATTCAGACGAAAAGATATATTTAGCAACATCTCGCGTGGCTACAACTAGACGCCACGTGGAAACCTGGCAAATTTCCTTCCTTCTCCCTCCCCAGCATCCGAGTCTCGACTGAGGGCGCTAGAGTGGGTGTAAAATGACATAGCCGCGCTCAGAATTCCGTTTATGCATGATCTGCTCCCATATGGAAAATATTTAGAAGTGCCAAGCCGTGGAGCTTGTCAACTTGAAGGTGCATTTTTTCTCTTCCTTGCTTCTCAGTGTTCAAATACGCGCCTTCTAGCTTTGACAGCAGTAACTGAAATTTGGTTCATGTATCGTATTTTTGTTGCTCATGTTTGTGCTGGTGCTTAAAACTTATTATTATGCGTATAGACCTTTACTGGAACGATCCGGAGAATCACCGATCTTTTTTCGTTTTGACCGTGACTTGCCACTAGCTAGTCTTGAACTGCGACACGCAAAGCGCACTAGAACTGCTCTGTCTGCTATATGCCGCACCGACGTCTAGTCATCACGGACAATACGGAGAGCAACACGCGTGCCCATTCAGGTGACCATGCACAGACTTTGAACATCCTAGATGAGATGGAGTACCCGTTATTGAAAAACATAGATCATCGAAGCCTACCGGGAGAGAGATTTCGCCAATCTATGTACCCTTTGTGCAACTTGTCAGCTCAACGGTATGTTCGAGTCTAACATTTCTGGAATCTTTACATCAACAGAGGCTTCGACTTCTATGATAAGCGCGGGGTGCCAACTCAGCTTACTCATTCTCCGAATAGGAATCCGCAAATACTTTACGCTGAAAACAATATTAATGCGCTGAACTTTTTAGTGATGCACGCGAGCGGGCTGTTGCATTGATGAGGCTGCTGGACTAAAAGTTAAAGAAATTAGAATGATGAACTTAGGAAGGCCCTCAAGTTGGGACGGCCGCGGAACGGCCATCACAGTTTTCAGATTGCGCTTATATGCTGGCTTCAACTTTCCGAGTTCTCATCGTCTCCCCCCTCATTCCTCGTTTTATATCTTATTTTTGCTTCATGAATCTTAGAGGGCTCCGTAACAGTCGCGTGCGTTGCTTGAGCGATATGCTTTTCTGGTGCGGACTGCTGAACGAACTGGAGAATGAAGTATGACTTAACTGGTCATGACAAGTTGGAGAAGGTGCGTCGTATTAGGTCCAGCCTACAAGTCGTAGGACTGATGTACGTTTATGTTTTATTTCAGCCAGTAGCTGAATCTTCATATTCTTTGGCTGACAGCGGCGTCATGTATTCCTTCGTGCCAACAGGAAAGGATCTTGCCCACCCATGCTATGCTTTTCGGGGCTGAAAATGTGTGCTCCATTCGCTCCACCTTTGCCTGCTCAATCAAAAAGAAGCACTTGTATTTGCGACTGCAACTCATACAAGGATCGACGGCACTACCGTGGCTCTCTCGAATACCAGGCATCGACGAAGGTGTAGTATTGTATGCCGCAGGGACGGAGAAATATCTGACGCCTTGGCCACCTGAAAGTGCAATTGGCACGCATTTCAACTTCCATATTCCTCTCCAAACACATCTTCGTTCTACTCTACCAGTGTTGTGCGGTCGCCCGACCTTGAGGCAAAGTCAAGGTTGCGGGTCGCGAAACTTCGGGGTAACGGTTCCCAGTCGCGCAAAATTAAATGATCACTCCTGGTAAGCAACTATTTTGGTTCAGGCAAAAACCGGCGAAAATTATGGATGACAGATAAATGTTTGAGTCAGGCTTTTAAGCACAGCAAAATGAGCCGGAATTCCCGTCCATAGTAAAGCTGATGGATTTTGCTGTGGTCAAGGGGCCCTAGTCAAAATTTCGCCTCTATTCCAGTTGTTTCTCTTGCCGATTTATTATCCTCGACCCTGACTCTTGTGCTGTGGTTTTGTTTGTCTTCTATCCCGACCAAATCCCGACTGCTTTGTCACCATTTCGTCGCCTTATGGTCCTTGGATGGGCAAGATTGCGGTGGCGTGGGTAAAGTCATGTCTTTTGCTGCCCGTGTTGTAACTATGGTGACTTCGGCAACTATCGCGCGACCCGCATAACACTGTAACAGTAACACTACGCCCAATCCAGGATCTGTTCCCTTGTGCAGGTATCACTAAAACCTCACTTACAGAATGGCAATTATTTCCATCTTTCTGAAGCTCGGCGGTGGATACCGAGAATATAGCTAATTCGGCTCGACATAAACGAATGCACTCGATCTCGCTCCAGGTGTTGGCCTCTTTTCGACCCTCTGTCCCAGATGCTTTTCATCAACTTTCCAACGCTCGGCCATCAAGCGAACTCGATTGGATAATCTTTGATCCCCCTACCGTGTGATGTAAATCATACTTCGAAGGCACCTGCATACCCCAACAATGTCTTCCGCATCCGCGATGCTTGGACCTTGCTTTTTGGAGTTTTTCTGCCTTTCGCACTGCCGTACCACATGATCTCCGGACACCACGGTCGGGGGCCTCAGTCATTGGATATCTAATTCTTTCTAGCCTGAGGTAGGTTCGCGTTTTATCTTGGCGGTTTCAACAACCCGTGGTGTGGAGATCCGTATACATATATAAAGCCCTGTGCGTTAGCCTTGATCCCCCAGATTCTACAATGAAGTTTTTCTTCCTCTACATCCTTCCAGCGTTCGTCCTCTCCACCTTAGCCTCTGCTCAATACATATCTCCCACTGCAGGCGAAACAATCTCTTCCACTGACGTGAGTATTCACCTTTCTCTCGTCTTCGTCCCCTCACTTTTCTACACGTTTCAGCCTTTTAATCTCACATGGGTGTCTGGGAAGTACTTCAAAGAAACTTCGTTAAACATCACCGTCCTCTTCGCTAGGAGTCCATTCTCCAGCAGCCTTAACGGGGTAGTGTTGGTCGAGGGCCTCGTCTCTAACGACCCGGGTATCAAGACGTACTCTGCCGAGCTGGCACCCAGATACTTCTATAACGACAACGAAACAGGAGCGTTTGATATTATTATCATTGAAACCTATCAGGCGTATGGGGTGAGCATGAGGGTCTTTTTTGCGAATATGATTAACTTACGTTGTCAAGGGTGCTAACATCGCAACTGAACTGTACATCCAAACAGTCAACCTCGCTGGCCCATGAAATGCTTATAATTTGATGTTCGTTGGACGTATCTACCCTTTGAGCAAATATGGACAATATATACCCTGAAGATATTCTTTTCCTTCTGTTTCCTTTCTTGTTTCCATTGTATACATTTCGTATGGCTACGCACAAGTGTAAGTATCCGCGATAATGAAAAAATATTAATAAATAAATAAGTAAATAATGCTTGCTCTTCACTTACATCTTATCGGCCACAATAATGACGATTCTTCCAGATTCTTTTCGACTTATGTGGCGAGTCTAGTAAATGGCAGGCAACGCATACGCGAACTTCAAGTTGAATCGGTTTCAACCAACACAGAAGCATTTACTGTCACCGGTAATTCTATCACGGCTCGGAAATCGAGCTGTAGAGGGAATTTCCAGGATTCGCGAACGTTCGCTACTACGATAATTTAGGCGCCCAGGCTCTCATCGTATCTTTCTCTTGCATTGCAGTAGGCCGCGCTTCTTACCTTTGTTTCATGATACTCATTCAAAACATAGGCAGTCTACATACTAAGCCCTTGATGCATAATGATTGGACGCGTCATTATCAAACATTCATACAACGTTTGGTGCCGCGCCTGGAGTCACTAGTCTGCATCCGATTCTAGGATGAGAATGGCGCTCTAGTTCAAGCAAAGAGAATAATCTGTGTGTCTCTCGTCTGTTTGTCTCTCGTCTGTTTTTGTGTGCCGGTACTAAATCTATGGGTTGCAGGACGATGCTCATCACGAGTCTCCATCCTAAACGACGTTCTCTTGCATGGACACTTGAACTGGTCACGCGAGGAACTTTGTTTGTCACCATTCATCTTCGCTGTCATGGTTCTAATCGCAATTTCCGGAAAACTCTGACACTACAAGACACGCCTCTTGGGATTTTGCGACTGACAGCAAAGGAAGCTGATCATGGAGGAGCTCCATATTTCCTGTCAGTTCTGCAATCGTTTACGGGAAGCTCTGGCGGTATAAGAGGACTCAAGCATTTCTCAAAGACACCATCGAGCTCATTCTTATGGCGTTCTTCAAGGATTACCTCTCACTTGTTGACATCGCGAAGTACAGGCGACAAATCTATACCATCTAGTTTTACTCCTCTTACTCGCTATCTTGTCCACCGTGCTCCAGCCTGCGTCAGGTCAGATATACCATATTTTGCTTTTCCCCACCTATCTCATGGAAATGTAGCCAGTGGCGGTCTCTCTTCCGGCGCCTTACTGCCATGACTATTGGATGCACACGCCGTCGCGCCAGTTCTCGACTTTAGCCAGTCGAGCTACATTTGGACGGGAGAGCAGACAGGGTCTGCCCATACTGCGCCTCTCGGCATGCGTCCATTCCGCAGGGAAACCCCTTCTTCAGCCACGAAATGTCCCATTTGCGTGCGTGGTAGGTTTTTTGCATCGCCTACTATGTACATTGTACTCACACATATATAGAGACAAGTGTCCCATCTTCGTCAATGGTGGCCAAATCGGCACTGGGAGAAGTCCTCAGAACGGAGCCGTCATCTACACGGCTGGCCTGAACCCTGAGGGCCAGAACGTCTTCGCCATCGGCGTGAACAATACCGTAGGCTCCGCCGGACTCATCGCCACAATCCTCGTCGACTACACGGATGGCACAACCGAGACGAACATGCTGAAACGCAAGTCGTGCAGACTTGCTGGGCTACCATGGCTCTGATGTATGCGGAATATCCTTATCCTGAACCTATTGAGAAGGCCGTTGAACTGGTAATGTCAAGACATCTACCTGTACCCATTGTCAGCGACTCTTCCTGGAAGACGCTTAAAGCTGTAGCACCTGGAGGCTGGACAAGCCCGAGTTTTGATGATTCGGCTTGGACTGCCGCGGACGTGGAGGGACCTTCGAAGCCTCGCCCTGGGGAACTCCGCCGTTCCCACCTGCGATCAACATGGCGACCGCAGACTGGCTCCAGACAAATGAGAGTGTCTCAAGTGGGAGCCCTCCTCGTGGCCACAGACCCTTCCGCAAGACTTTCACTTCGCCGTATGGGAAAGCTGCCGTCTGCGGCACGGTCGTCCTCTCCATGTATGTCTCCTATTTTCCTTTTCCCTCATGGATTTTCATCATGCTTTCTAGGGAGGGCTCCTACACGCTCTACGTCAATGGTAAGCCTATCGGGACCGGGTCGGATTGGACAGCTATGCAGGCGTATTCGATTCTGCAGTTGGATCCGGGTGTGAGTGTTGTCGCTGTGGATGGGGAGAACCTTAGAGATGATAGTAGGGTCTATCTCGCTGCGGGTTGCTAGTTGCGTACAATGACGGGACGTCGGAGACGTACTATATTTATGGGTCGTGGAAGACGCTGAATGCGCTTCCTCCTGCTGGGTTCGAACGGCCGGATGCGGATGATAGTGAGTGGGTGGATGCGACTATATGGGCGGGTGGCCCTGTTGACGGAGGTGCTACTGTTCCGGATGCTTAGCTCTGGCGTTGCTGTGTTTCAAATGCTTGTCTCGTTTCTCCTTTCGCGCTTGCCATTCCTCCTTGGATGTCTGTTATATTCACCAAAAATCCAGTTGTTGCGACCATCAATAAGCTCTTGTAGGGAACGCTGTTCAGTCCCCTTGTTCGGCCGCGATTATATGGTAATGAGTACTGGAGAGGACGGATACAAGACAATTGTGCCTTTTGTTATCGCTATGCTGAGAACGAAAGAATTCGCGGGCTCGGCATTGTACAACACAAAAGTCTGACGATATCATCCATCAAGGAAAGGATACATTCTTAAGCGTTGGGGAACAGACAGTGCGGCGATACGCATCTCCGAGATGGTAGAAACACGGCAACTGGCATTCAGTCGCTGAAGTGTGAATTTGATCCAACTGTTTCGTAAATAAAGACTGTGAGGAAGTGGCCCATGTCCAATATCTCGTGCTGATGGACACTGAATTCTTTTGCTGATGGAAGCCAGTAAAGATCGATGACGCGGGAAGATCGGATGACTTGGTGAGAGGGTAGTAGTTCTCACTGCGACCTAAATAATATGACGTTATATGGTGGCAAATACGTAGATTTCGCGCATTCGGTTGTTGTGTTTGGTCATTGCCCTCTTCATTTGATATGAGTTGTGGTGTCCTGCTCTCGCAGAAGAGCTTTCCTCATTTATACCTGTCAAAACGTTCAAGGCCCGTCAATATTCCTTCGGTAGGATAATCATGGTCGTGAACGACGTCAAAGTTCCAGCTGATTTGTAAGTGAATTGTGTTACTGAAGCTGTACAGATTCGCACAGAGAAATGTAAAATGATTTTGTACTTTGGAGCGCGTCAGCTTAGCTTGGTTTTAAATCGGATTTCCTAGGCTAGGTCATTCAAGCGACAAGAGCACAGAAATACGGGAAGTTTCAGTACTATATTGGCGAGTTTTTGCACGAGTTACCAACTTGTTCGGAACGAAAGTAAACAACCTATCATATGTTGGTGTTCGTCTCTTCTTCGAAGGTCACTGTGGCTCCGAGTCGGTGTGGCGGTCCTTTGTGGGAGAGAATTGGTGTGAGTTTACGTGAGTGCATTGAGAGAGATCCTGAATCAAGTTATGGCATCCAAGGATATGGCCTTTCCGTATTTTGGTCGCTTAGTCGAGGTCGACAGAATCGTGGCTAAAGATTATCAGTGGCGGGAGGCGTGTAGGGGGAACTATTATTTACTCAATGACTCCCGAGTCATGACTCAGAATTGATAACCGTTGTCAGGAGCCGTGTGACATTTAGTCCTTTGAAGATTGAAACGTGTAGATACAGTTTGATGGATATGTCTTGACAGCCTCTAGAATCTGGTCAGGCTCTACAGCGCCCAGTTCAACCCCGACAGACAAATACACCTCCATGAATTCACAGCCAAATTGGAAGCAGAATCGAAGGCACTAAATTCAGGGTAGACACAGGCAGTGCCTGATTCCGGAGCATAATGTGCCATCGATAGCAGGTGTTATATCCTTGGTGATGGCGACCGGTAAAATTGCTGGAGCCCGAGTGGCTCTTGGGTGGAATATGTTTGAGAAAGTCGCCATTAAAATGAAAATATATTGGAACCATCACAAGAACCAACCGTCTCCAAATTCGAGGACCAGATCGATATGCTGGTTGTAAGTGGCAAGGATCGACCATAGAGGCCTGTCGTCCATTCCAGTCAACATGCGATCACGTGTACGAATTGATGCCAATTCGGCTCGCCCAATTCGGAGTTCCTTCTTTTCTACCACGACGGCCGCCTTGACTCGCGTTCCCTCCATTTGGGTTCTGCCTTTGTTCCTCGGGGCAGTCCGAAGATACAGCCTGTATGGCTTATTTTTTTCATCAGCCGACTGCCCTGAGTCCAGACTTGTCTGAAGATGGAAAAACCGTGATAGACGCTGGTCGATTGATCCTTTCGGACACGGCGCGAAAACATGAGGCAAACAAGCGACAACTGGTCCTCAAGGTATAAAAGCTTCGCTTTCTCTCTCTGGGTTCCCATCCTCTCTTGCCTTTGAGCAATGAACTATCATACTCAACGCTACTCTTGAGACGACGACGCCACCCGCCCTCTCGTCAGAGGACGTGGATGGCGATCCTCGTGTGTGGCTGCCTTTCCCCGCCACCCCTCTGTGGTAGGTTACCGACGTCGTTGCGAGCGAGCAATTCCCTCACTCTACACATAGTCATTGATTCTACGAGGTTCCTCTACGTAGAATCTACTTAGTGAACGTACTATCGGCGTCACAACTTGAGTGGCTCATCGTGCCACATCCGCGTCGATGTTATCATTAATCGGCAACATATGTGTACGTTCTTCCCTACCGCTTCTTCAGTTCGTCTGCTGATGCTTTCCTGGGTCAACGTCTCTCTAGGCCCTGGGAGATACGTGCGGTCGCTCTGCGACTATCCGGGTCACTGTCGGTTACCATATCGCTCCTCCTACTTGGCGAATCATGGTGCTCCTGATTTCAGTCGAGCGAACCCACCGTCGGGTGAATGGAGCGACTTGGTGACCAAGGTCAATCTCAACATGATCGGCTAGGCCATGGATCGGCACGCAGCGATGGGTAACGATACCCATCCATCTTCCCAATGAGGTCGTTGACCGACTCGAACGGTGAGCGACGTCAAGCGTCGTGGTAGATGCGTGCGGTCGTTTCGACGACTATCCTTGGCCATTGTGCCCTCTCCCTTTCGTGATCCGACGGCATTGATGACCCTTCCTTGGACAGGCCGGTCATCCGCCTTCGATAGGGCTGATGGCGGCCTTGGATCGGCATCCATCTTTCCGGCGACGTAGTGCTGAGTACATCGTTCGAGCAAGCGACCGAATCGGTGAGGAGTTTGTAGTCGGATCTCTCTGAGGCGTCGGCTGCTCCTCTCTTTCAGTGCCAATGGCATTGATTGAAATCTCCGCAGTGAGTTGTTATCTTTATCAGACAACTTTGATCTAACAAGGAGATTTCGTAGCTTCGGTTCGCTTTCTGCCAAAAAAAAAATGGTAGGTCGTCTTCCTGCCTGATTTCTGTCTCCGTTGTTGATGATTATCTTTTCAGAATTGCGCGAGGTCCTAAGACTCGCTTGCATCCTTCAAGACGGGGTGGGGTATTGAACGTTGACCACGGGATGGCAGGTGGTCTCCAATACACCCACCCTAGAAAAATAATGGTGCGTCACTCGGCGTCACGACTTGGACATGACGATATGACTGTTTTTCTTTTCAGTGATAATCACCAAATAACATACATGTACATCCCTCCCCCTCGTCTTTTGCTGCGGATACTAATGTGTATCCATTGTTCTAGAAATACCTGCGGACGAAGCAGGTATCAAAAGGAGTTTGGACGATTAATAATGCGTAGGCGTCGCAAGGCTGTCAAAATGCGCCGACGCGTCCAGTGGAAAGAGCTGAGTATACATTTATTCAACTCACCATTCTCTCGCCGTCTGACATTTTTTGCAGCATGCCATTCATATATTCCGACTTGCCATCCATTTAAATATCAGGGTCAATAGCGAGGCAAGACCTCGGTTTGAAAGGTACGCATTTCCCGGGGGATAAGACGGGGGCAGATGCGCGCTGCCTCCGTCTGGGTGCTCCCTTGCCGTGGGCCCCGGGCTTTCCACCAAACGCACCTATACCATCGCGTCCGGTTTGTCACCTCATTCCGGTTGGAAGTTGTCCGTACACAGAGAAGCCTTTGAAGGCTTACTCGCCGTACCGACCTTGCTTCTTTCCCTCCTTTCGATCTGGATAATCAGGTTGGTACGACTCTTTGCTGTGCTTATATTTATTGAAATCAGTTGTCTCAGTTCTGCCTTTGCTTTATTGGTGGTATCTTCCACGCGTATGTTCATTTATTACACTTCCTTCCTTCTGTCTCTCTTACGATTTTTTCCCTAGATCCTCAAACTGCGACATCACGATTTCACGACATTAAGAATCAAACACCTCAATCGAAGGTCGATCACATCTTTCGTCCAGCCGCTTACAAGCTAAACTCTGGCAACACAATATCGCTCACGTCGGCCGCCAAAAGTATTGCTATGTCAACCACCTTGTAGGCGAGTGAGTGCTTTCAATGAAACGCCAACATCATCACATCGAGTGAGCTCGCATCCCAAGAACAATAAAAGTACGTCGACCTTTTGTTTTGATCTATTCTTTATCTGATCGTGGTGCTTTTAAGGGACAGACAAACTATCAACTCTTGTGTGAAGTGCTCTATAAGCGAGTGATAGCCTCTGCGTGAGGCGCCAACACAACGACAATACGCAGTATTGTCCCCTGGGGGATAGAACGGAAGTGGGTGCGCTCCCCTCCGTTCGGGTGCTCCCTTGACGTGGGCCCCGGGCTTGCAGGCGTTGTACGGCTGCCTTCGGCGCTGTCTCGCCGTACCAAACGCACTTCGCACTTCAGCGCATCCTAGATATTAACTCAATGTAGTATTCAATTTGCATAAATTCTATCCATAATATATCAAAATCATGAAAGTCTTTAGTCCAAATCCAGCATATTCCCCTCTTCGTTCAACCAAGCTAACCGACCCAATGATCCATGTTGATGAGTAGCACGGGGGAGTCGCGAACGCACTGCCATCCCTACGAGCACGCAACTTTGTATGATGCTGTATCCAAGGGAAATCTGAACATGCAGCCGGGAAAGATTGTTCATCCACAAAGCATTGTCTAGGTCGGTCCAATATGGATGGTCTCTATCAGACAGAGAGGCATTGCTATCAATGCGGATTTTTAGGTTCCAGAGTGAGCTGGGATGGCTGAGTGTCTTGGCCCACCACTTGATAGAATGTATATAGTCGCGCCGCCTGTCCAGAACGAGGGTAAACGTGAGGTTGGAAACATATGGCATCTTGAGGGCGGGGAGTTCCTCATCTGCCATATCATGAATCAGCGATTGAAGAACACAAAAAGTATAAGATTAACGTACGCATGGCTATGCACCTGAATGTTATCTCTCTGGGTCGGGCAATGACAGGAGCGAGGTTAGCAAAGAGATCCTTCGTCCCCGGAATAGGATTGTTCAAGCCGGAAATTTCCAGACAATTCACCGACGACAGCGAAAAGGGGCGGTTTTGGGCCATCAGAAAGCGGAGGAGGGGCGTCGAAGAGTTGTCGAGATGAAGTGTTAGAGAACTGACTGATGGATTCAGTCTGCCTGGGATTCTGTTATACACTATGGGGAAGTCGTCGAATGTCACTCCTTCGATGGATATTATGGTGAGGTGGGAGTAGGAACTCAGAAGAGTAACAAATTCATTCTGGCTGCAAGTAACATTGTCTAGAAAGAGCTTCTTGATAGTCGGGAAGGACATAAGCGCTGTGTGGTACTCGGAGCGGTCTTCCCCGAAGGCGGACCACGCAACTCCATTGATGGCCATAGTTTCCACAGGCTTTTGTCCGCGTACGTCCGCAAGGTGCCGTAGCAAACGAGACAAGCCCCCGTCATAAACACCATTTCTTATCTTGCCGCAGATATAGATGCGGCTGATGTCATAAGTTACCCAATGTTGGCGTTCGCACATCTCAGTATAAGTCGGTAAGGACCGAAGGCGACGAGGTCCTATATCATGGAAGGGTTTGACCATGGCTCTGTATATACATTAGTCATCACATACCATGGGGAAAGAATTCATAACTTACAGGGTGTATATAAGGAAGAGGCTTCTTAATAGGTGAGGGGGTTGGAGAACGGGAAGTGTGAGATGGTCGCAAGAACCACTTGCATCCCTTTATATGTCGTGGGCGATGAATGAAGGCCACAGGGCTGCGGTCCGATACAAGACAACCAACAAAGCACAGTGACGGCCAAAGAGTCTGACAAAGGCTGAAGAGAAAACCATTGCTAGAGCTCTTTTGCTGAGCTCCGACCCCCTGTGGACAATATCACTCACTGCTAAAGAGATGCACACATGTGAATTGCAAGGTAACCAGGCGAAGAATTTCCTTGTACAAAGTTTGAAAGATCCGGTGAATTCCAAAAATTTCAGAGCCGAACATTGAATAAAAAGGTTCCGGGATCTTGCACTTGGTCTTGTTATCGAAACACAAGACAGTTGAACGGTCGAAGCACCGGCAGTGGGTGAATAGGAACATTACATTTAGATCCCAATTTCAAAGAAGGAGACTTTGTTGTTGCTGTCTCCGTCTTTTTGTAAAGGTGGCGGGTCGACGATGTCGATGCTGGCCATAAAGAAAAACAAGACCTTTGTATGTAGAGAATGACTAGCTGGTCAGCACAAAAGTTTCGGAATTAGTACTTACAGGGAGCCATTGAAACCATTGCGAGGCTACGCGGACAGATATCAATGCGTCGCTCTCAGACTTGGAGGTGCGCGTCAGTCGCCCGGCAATGCCAGCATCGAGTCCCGAAGGCGGTGCCGAGCACATGCCGGGTATGTCGTCTCTCGGCTCCTTCTCTGTTACTACCAAGAAAGGCCTCTGTATGTGCTCTAGTTACTCGAATATCTACCATTTGTCTTGGAATATGACTCTCAGTCGAAGATGAAGTCGCGTCGATCGTCGTTATAATATCTTACAATGAGGTTAATGTTACTTAAGCGGCAAATCCTTCGTAACGGCTCCAGACTTATCTCCCGTTGACTGTACATTTGCAACACTAGCGTCTGCAGAACACCGACGTGCTCATCCAGCATTTGCAGAATCGATGGGATGGGAAATGGCTGTGGTGAGGCCATGGCGATAGCTCGATTCTCCAAGCTCAAGTATGTTACCAAAGGTGGTAAGCGTTCGAGTAGGACAGAGCTCCATATACCACTACAGACATGAAGGTACTCCAACCGTGGGAGATGTCCGATGATGTCGTCCATAAAGGGCATGGAACGACATTTCAAATCTGCCTCGACGGTCAAACGACGGAGAAGTTTGAATTCCTTGAGAATCGGGGGAAGGCGTGAAAATAGGGTGTTCCTGATTTCGCGAGGCAATCGGAAGTCGAATCGTGTCAGAGTCGATGACAAGGAACTAATTGGGAGTGATAGTAGCAGGTCACCTAGAATGCCGGCATGTATTCCGAGCCTTGTCAACGGAGGTAAAACTGGGACTTCCGCATTCGAGACTACAGTCAGTGGTGCCGAAAGGCATACTTCTCTCAAAGAACGAAGAGAAGCGAAGAGATTGATCGTCTCTCGATCAATGAAGGAACTGCTTATGACGAGAGATTCAAGCGCAGAAAGGCTGGTCGCACAGAGCTGCCTGAGGACATCTGGCAGAATCATTTCTCCCAATGACCAAAAAGCGACATGGAAGGACCAGATGTTTCCCGGAGGGAGAAGGAGAAGCCAGTCATAATCTGCAGGTGTCTGAGGTGGGATGTCTGGCAAGGGATATGGTACAATTCTCAAGGACAGCGTGTGGATGTATGATCGTGCAGCCGCGCATGTCCGTAGTGTAGAGGCGAGTAGCGGAGCAGGGTATATGAACTGCAGGCTGGAGTACAGGCATATGCGGGATGGTTCAAGCCAGGTTTTACAGACAATTGCAGTGGATGCAGCGTCTGGTTTGTCCAAGCCTGATATGATCTTTTCAATGATCTCTGAAGGGCAAAGGTCAGCAGCCGAGGGCTGACGGGGATGATTGCACAAGTCGTTATTTTGGAGAGGTATTGAGATTCTATACTTTACGTTAGTTGCTTTCACTGCCGATTGCACGATGCCTACCGATGGTCAATGGCTCTTTGAGGTTGTGCCATATCTTTGGACCAGTGAATTATTAGAAACTAAAGATGTCGATGAATGTCAATTAGTATTTATTTTTGATTCAAGGCGAGACTCACAGCAAGGCTTGGTCGCAAGGCTCTGACTGAGTACAGGCTTGCGAGTCGTTGACTCAGAAGAATGTGCATGGTAATTTGGTCCACCCGTGGTAAGTCACAATGTCACACTTGTTACTCGTTCCTACTTTGATCATCATCCATGTCTGCCGCGTATTCTGTCGTTCTGGACCGTGAGAACTATGAAGCTTGAAGTTTGAACTTGAATAATTGGCATCAATAGGTGATGGAGAAGATTCCCTTCAATCCATGTTTCTCTGGTTGAAGAGGTACCTATCTCTCATCTGGATAGTGGTTCCTCGTTAATTGGTTCAACGTCTAGATGCCATACATGTCCTTTCGAGACATATTCATACCCATCATATATTTCATGTTCTACTTTGGCTAACGCTAGCACTACTAGTATAATCTCGTGTCTTACTGACGGAGCAGATTAGCGACGCTCTAGACTACTGGACAAAAACCATTTGGAACTCTGGCTTAACACAGGATGGCATATAACAATAATCGATTGCACAGTCTCCTGTATGTGGCGGCTGTTCGGCGTGTGTTCTAATATGACGGAGCAAATGTACCTACAGGAATGCCATCCTGCATGCTATAGCTTGTGACGCGAAATAGAACCGTTTTAAGGGTAAACGATCCCCCAACCAGCGGTTGGTTTTTTCAATCCAAGATTGGCAGCTCGATGGTTTGCCCGCTAGGATGTCAAAGGAACTTGAACTTATCTTACATATAGAGGACCGAAGTTACCATCGGGCTTAGTGTTTTCGAAGATGATCTCTGAGGGTAAGACATCGAACCATCGTTACGTTTATAGACCTAACCGGACGGTTACTAGCTTTTGTCCTCCTGCCAAAGTCATGCTACCTTGGCAACATTGGGCTGTGCTAGCCCACCCTTTTATTTCATGAAACGTATCAGCCGGATTTCCACACAAGAACGATGCTCCCCACTGAACTGTGTAACCTCGTCATCGACCATTTCCATGACACCAAGCCATCCCTCTTAACATGCTCCCTCGTCCGCCGCGTATGGGACTCCGAAAGTCATTTTCATCTCTTCCACAAGGTCCAGCTCTGTCGCGACACAGCTGATTCGTTCTTCCAGCTGTTCGAGAGCCCCCATGCTACCCTCGCTTCAGCCCATATACGGGAGCTTGATGTCGCGCAGAATTCCGTCACTAAAGGTGGAAGTGTCGCAGGCGATCTGCTTGATGGTCGGGCGTTCCAGGGAGTCTTGACTCGATGTCCTGCAGATGTCTTTGAGCACGTGCAGAAGTTGTCGGTGACCTGCGTTGGCCGGTGGACACTCACCGATGCAGAGAAACTGAGTATTGGACATCGATTCAAGAGTGTGACCGAGCTCCGGTCGTGGATGGTTGTTTTCCAGACGGATGAAGAGTTCCAAGCTCTGATCAATTCGATCCAGGCGCTGAAGTCTTGTCCTTGCGGGCGATATGGTTCCGGGCCAAGGATTCGGAGGAAGATCACTCAGACGCCAAGCACACACTATCAGCCAACTTACATACCATCTCGCTCAACGACGTGACCAACCCTCGTATTATACGCTTTCTGATCCCATGTCTGTCTCTCCGAGTATTCAAATGTCACTGTGTAAATTTTGGTAACTTTGGGCCGAAAGTGGCTAAAGAGTTTGGACGGCTTTTGTTATCTTCTGGCGAGCGCTTGGAGGAATTCGGGTTCACCATCCAGGCTGCAGCGTCCCTTAACGACGGTGTTGACCTTGGTGAGTCCCCCTACATATTCACTGACCAGCTCTCATATCCGATTCAAAGACATCGACCTCTCCCGACTTTCCAATCTTCGGCAGATCGCACTATGGATTGAAGACAACCAGTACCTCATTCCATTCCTCAAACGGCTCACCGAGTCCGACTGGTCGATTGCAACGCTAGAGACGCTGGGCATCTCCTATCTCTCCGAGCATGATCTGGATTCGGAAAAGCTCGATGAGATCGTCCAGTATTCCTACTTCTGTGAGCTCAAAGAGATCGAAATCTCCGTCAAGGTGTATTATGGTCTTGAATATATTGCGAAAAAGCGTGTACGATACGAGAGGCCCAATGATGGATCCAAATCCCATATTGAGATGGTGCACAGTATCACAAGGTTCATGGAGAAGTTGTCAAGTTGCCAGGCAAGGGGAATACTACGCCCAGCGGACGACTATTGGATTTTTGATAATTCAACGTTGTATGGGCAAGTCGACCGGCAGACGAGGAGAGGGCGGTTTTTGAGGAGGATTAGTGTTGTCGGTTGGTCGGTTGGTCGGGCGTTGAGCTATTCCATTGTGCCGTCTACACCCTCAGACTACCATAAATACGTTTTCGGCATAAAGTCCTTGATTTCTTTCATCTTTTCGCAGATTTCCTGGCCGTTGTTTCTTTTCTGTTCAGCGAGCTCGCAATTCTAGTACTCCTTCTGGCTGTTAAACATTTTGATGTCCTAGTCAAAAGCTTGTTTCTTATAGTGGTATAGAACTACACAAAAAGCAGAATTTGTGCTTGAGACCGTCCTCTTTCGGCAAATACCGCTTCTTCATTCACCGCAACCACCACATCAGCAACTGTGCGGACCACAAAACTGACGCAAGCTCTGAATTCACTCACACTGACAACGATGCGCATTCCGTGGTAGATGACACGCTCAAGGCCCGCGGTTTTCTACGGTGTATCTTCGGAGTCTCCTGTAATAATTTGGGAGGTTGAGAGGTAGGGATTAGACCGGGGAGGCCGAATGAGGACTCATATACACAGTTATTTTTACTTACAAGAGGGTAAGTTCAGACTTTTACTTTATATTGTACACTCATCCGAAACACAGTCTCTCTGAATGCTACGTGTTTGCAAAGAAAAGAAAATCTTTGAAAATTGGATGCCTCAATATTGACATCCCTCAAATTCATCAGTTACTGATGCTGGGCTTCCGATATATGGCAGAAGTCACTGGGGATCTGCATCGTCGTTCCAAGCCACGTGACTCTTTCTTTTCCTGTGCGTAAGACCAGCGCTTTAGCTGAGACAAAAAGAAGAATCCGTGCATTTCTTCCCTGCTATTTAATGCAGAATGATGCTGAGATAAGGACCAGTTTAAGTGTTTTCTGTCCTAAACAGCATGCTACATCGTGATCGTTGTATTCTGCTAATTTATATGAGCACGGCAGGTGCTTGAGCTCGTCGTGCATTGCAGAATCTTGTAAGTTACTGATATTCTTGACTAAGACCATCACAATCCTAAGCTCCAGACAGGAATCGCCGCAACACTGTTGAAGAGGCCCTAAGTGTGCATAAGGTGAGAATGGATACAGCAGAGCACTATCCACTGACCACACTCACACCAACACACACACAAAACTCTTAGTTCATGGGGGGATTATAATGTGATAAAAGTAGTAATCAACAAATATAATTGTCTTCTTCAATGAATCCACAGCATGCAAACAGCAATAGTGTTACAATTTTTCCTTTCTCTTTTGAACTTAACCCCTATTTATGCTTGGTCAGTGCTAGAATGAGTGCTTAAGACCATGGGATAAGGCTTAGTCATCACAAACAAGCCGAGTCCATCATTGTCTCTTGATGTGATGACACTGCCTGACAATGCACAATCAAACTTTTATGAATGGTAGTGATACTCAAGGATAAAGAGCACAAAAACCTCAGCAGTACACAATTAGTAGTAGTATATTTAGTTAACAACTTGTACAGTATTTAAGGAGCTCACTCTCACTGGATAACCTCAGCTTCAAGCTAAAGTTTATTCTATACCATTTCTCCTTGAGCCTATTCTTATGGTCTTGCCATATAATGACTACTATTTACAATTAAGTGAACTCTGATGTTCTACTCAAAGTGTGAAGTGACATCAGTTTATCACATGTTTATAGTCACATGCAACTTGGGTCTAACAATTAGCTTGAAGCTGTATCTTTCCTTTTCTCATGCCTATTAGTGCAGAGGAAACTAAATGCCCTCTATCAACCCCTCAGACCCGAACTTTGATCATAAGTTCTTTGAACTCCTTGCTTCTATCATTGGAACATTGTTGGGATTGTTGGTGATCATTCAGCTGTGCAGGAGATGCCATTCAATTACCACCTAGGCCATCAGACATTATAATGAGTTTTAACACATCTGACATATTCTATGAAATGTAACCCCTGATCTCCTGCTCTATGACATCCCTGAATCCTGACGAACATCTCACCAGCTCCTGATAAGTCTCTTACTAGAAGCTGGGCCTAGTGGCTCACATCAAGAGGACATTCAAGAAGAAGAAGAACACCGATACCCTCTCTGATGACCCAGCCAAGACCACAACTCTCAACTCATAGGATTCCAAAACCCATGAGTCTCTGGACCCCTGCCTGACTATGAAGATGAAGAGATCTTGGGAGACTTCTTTCAGCAGTCTCCCTCCTCTGATCCTTCCAGGACCTCTTGAACCCCTGGGATTGGTAACTGTGCCTGGAACTCCCTCAGTCTCACTTGGATGGCTGTAAGACCCTAATCCATGCTATCTAACAGCCAGCCTCACAGCCCCACCTCTTTCACTCAGCACTCTGTCAGAACAAGTGGTGGGATGGGAAGGGCACTCTTAGACTGCCTTGATGACAAGAGGTGAAACCAAGAAGCGAGAAATAAAGTCATCAGATGATACTTTCCTGCTTGAAACCTGCACATTCCCTTTAACTATGATGAGGCCATCCAACAAGAAGAGCAAAGGCAGTGAACTGCACCACAGCCAGTTTGCAGCAAGTTTGAGGAGCATATCATCATGAGTGGGTGACAGAGGAGGGAGGCTGCTGAGTATAATCAAGAACACTGAGAAGGGCAGCAGGCCATTGAAAGAGCTCAACTGGAAAGGGCTAACATCACCAATTGGTATGGAATCTGGCCTGAGGTTGCATCTGTACTTGCATCCATCCAGGCAGACCCCTTCCTCTCCACTCCCATCTTCTGAGAGCCAAGCACTGACTCTGACCCTTGGAGCAAGAACTGCTAGAGAAATAAAACCATCACAGCTGGCAGAACAGTTTCTGAAAACTCCTCTCATCCTCCAACCTCCTAATATCTCCCTCTATAGCAAACACCCAGCATCGACACCACATTCAGGGATGATAAGTTCATTCTTGGACACTATGGACTATGTATCTTTGGCACTGCTCACATCTCTACCTGAGCCCTCTGAGGCTTTCTTGGAAGCAGAGTGGTCAGTCAGCTCCTCAACAACAGGTACCAAAGAAACATCCAGCTCTATCATGAGTGAGTGGAAGCAGTGAGAGTGACAGAGAGAAACTGGTATGACTCCAATATCAGAAGCCAGCCTTCTGCTGCCTATCATCGAACTGCCAACTCTTCAAGCCTCTCCACTGGACCAAGCACTCAGCCATGACAGTGGAATGATGATACAACCACATGGAGATAAGGAGAGTTTCTATGCCTTGCCCACCACTTCCCTCCTCAAGGAAGACCAGGGTGATGAGGACAAGCAGGATAAGGAAACTGAAGAAAGTGATCTGCCTCAACCTAGAAGGGAGCTTGCATATGGAATTACAGAAGAACAGAAGATATAGATGAAGAAGAACTGGAACAGGTGATACAGAAGGCCTGAGCACAAGAGTATCAGGAGATATATTTACAAGAGGTGAACTTTCTATGGTGTGATGCTACTTGGCTAGTGTCACAGATGAGACAGTTATATCTGCATTCCACTACTAATAAAAAAACAGAAGTCTTGAGACATATGGCTATAGACTACATAAGCCTACAATATAATAAAAGGCACCCTGAAGACCCTGTCTGGTGGCCACCGGCATACCTAGTATCTGAGAGTATCCAATCAATACCATGGTCACTATCTGTCACCCCAAAATGAGCTGTATACAAGGCCCTCTTGATCCAGAGCACATTTTCATACTCCAATTATTCCTCCTGATTGATGGCTACCTGGCTGTCATGGATCTGATCTCTATCTAAGAAAGTGCCAACTTCCTACTGAAACCCCTAGACCAGCAAAGAAAGCCAAATGTTAGGGGCACAATCTCCACCTGATGAGGCAATAATAAGTGGCACTAGTAAAGAGCCAGTCAAAGATGATCCTGAGGCTGTGTGACTCAGATTTACTATCAGAGACAAAGTCATTATTCAAAAGGAAGAACTGCTATAAGAGAGCTCAGTTGCTAATGACAACTTGCTTCATTTATTCCCTGGACTATGGCAAAAATAGCAGCAGCCACTGTTCTCTGATTGATCCAACCCAATGGGCACACTACCAAGTGATGCAGCAGTCCTCCAGTATCAATCAGACCTACTCTGAAAGCTCTGACTGTTCAAAGAGATTTCAGATGATATCAATCGATTTCTGGTCAATTGCAAACAACATTTTGAGGTTTACATTGGGTATCTCAGAACTGACATGAACAAAGTCATATTCACCACCTCCTACCTAGAAGAGAAAGCCAAAATGTGGTGGATCCTGATTTTCTCAAACTTCTGATCATCAACTCAGAAGTATTATTGTTATCCATTCTGGCTAGTGTTTAAACAAATGCTGCATGACAAATTCATTGATCCTGTGGTACAAAAGGTGCACAAACAGAAAATCAAGGAGTATAAGATGACCAACAAGGCAGCCACAGACTACTTTGATGAATTAGAGTGACTGGTGAAGCTCACCAGGATTAGAGATGACACAGCCAATGATGGAAGGATGGTTGAGGCCCTCAAGTGAGGGGTCCCCTCTTTCTACATCATGATGGTCTCAGCCATCAGTATTTGTGCTCTCATGCCTAATAGCTATGATGAATGGAAGGAGTGAATCATTGAGATGTATAAAGAGTGACAAAGGCAGAAAGTGAAATCTATGACACTACAAGATTATACAAAGAAGTTGACACTGCCAACCTCAAGCAAACCATCAGAGACAACTGCCAGAAAATCATCAGGACCCTCTACAGCCCCTGCCTATGGGATGCAGAAAACTGGAACTGGAACAACTTATATGGGAGCAGGAAAGCTGATGGACATAGATCAGATGAAGAAGGAGGGCAAGTGTTTCAACTGTGGCTAAAAGGGCCACATGGTGAAAGACTGCCTGAAGAAGAAAAGAACCTGAGAAGATATTAGGACCTAAATTGCCAACTTGCAGAAAGAAGAAAAAGAACTCAGTGTGGAGACCAAAGTGAAAGAAGTAAAAGATGGGGCCAGTCAGTGAGTGATTCCACTGAGCTGGCCAAAGGACTTCACAGTATGCAGCCAACAGCTGCTAGTCAGACTAATAGTATTTCTGTAGCTATGCCTATGTCTAAATTATCTATGCATTCAAATATACTCTGAAATTCTACTCTGCACACCAAAGAATCACAAAAAAAGACTCAACTGTCTATAGGCTGAACCAGAACAGAGAGTCCCACCACATGGCTCAAACCATTTGAAACTGAGTGGACCTGGCAGGCTTTGACAGAAACAAAGGACAAA